ATCGGACACACTCTGAAGATCGGCCAACGGGTGTGACGGAGAAGGACACTGATGCAAGTAACCGGTGGCGCGTCAGGAGGGAAAGTCCCTTGTACAACCACCACCGATCCTCGAGCCAGTCCCAAATGGATGGAAATGCCTACGACAGCATGACAGCTATGAGATGAGCGCAAATGACTGTATCAGCGTTCGCAGTGACTTGGAACGATGTCATCATGAATTTGATGAGAAACGCGTGTGAGGCGAACGGATATGAAGCAACCGAACCCTTTAGCAATCTCCCAGATTAGGGCAGTTGCGAGAGGTCCAACCTCCGCCATTCTTTGCCCTATCCTTGCTTTTCTTTTCTTTTCCCATTTCTCACGATCTCCGGAATGGTCTTTGATCTTCCTATGTTGGAGCAACTCGACAGGCGTTGAGGGTGACTGCTGTGCGGCACTCTCACTCGGTCACCGGTTTCACTTCTACCGTCTGAAAATGGCGGATAGAATTGGGATAGAATGGTTTTACCATGATATGAAAAGACGACTGACTGGACAGCAAAGTCCGGATTTTCTCATCTGTATACCATTGGGAGAGGGCTATTACTTTGTCATTTTCTTTTCTTTATTCTCTTCTTTTATTCTTTGACATTTTCTCATTTCTGATGTTTGTTTAAGTCTATTGCATGGCTATTTTGGATCAGCCTATAAGCGTTGTTTCTTTTTTGTCTTTGGGGATTTCCTTTTTTCCCTTTTTTTTTTTTTTTCTTTGTGCCACGAGAAGTTCAAGTTACGGCCAAGAAAGCCATTTTTTGATATGTATAGTATACCAACGATGTTAGGGGTCCATTGTGTAAGAGACCATGTCACATTGAAACGTGAATGAATTGATTGATATCCACACTGGAACAATTGTCTGTCCGCGAGCGTAGGTTGAACTTCAGTAGTACGGTACGGCGAGACATGGCACGGAGATACCCCTACCGATCGATGGTCAAGCATCTTTGTGAATCACTGAGACCCCCAGGACAAACAAGGTTGAACCACGGCACGCTGTCCGAAACCATGGTTGTCAAACCAGGCGTCGGTCTAGGTCAGGAACAGATGGGTCCATCTATGGAGCGGATGTGATGGAGCTTGGCCCTCCAGATTTGCCGATACGTAGCCTCGATGAGGCGTAACGGGTTAAGGCAGACAACCACCGGTTCTTTTCATTCTGATTGCGCGAACGTGGAATTGAGGTGATGCGACATGATGTCAATGGCAAACTTGTCTTTTACTTGAGCTCTTGCCATTGCCAAATCTTGCCAAATCAAAAGATGATTGAACGTGATTTGGTTAGTCATCCATGGCGGGGATCGCTGCCCAAGGCCCCAAACGGGTAAGGTGTTGTCCTCAGGTACTACATACAGAGTAGTATTTTCAGGTGTGCATCAAATTGAGGGTCCGGCTCCACTGCTTCACGACCACCCTACTGTGTGCTATGCTTTCCCTCTCTCCACGGGTGAATGGAAGTGTATGAAACACATTGCTCGTGATCAGCCCCGTTTAAGCGGGACGGCTTATACCTCGAAGATCGAGCTTGGGCCGTTTCAGCCTTACTTGAGCGAAACAGCGAATCATTCTATTAATACTGCTGTACTGTATATCCTGTCAGAGAGGTACCGCCCATACGTCACTGACGTGCAGGTGCCCCGCCTCTTGCCACAATTTCTCCCGTGCCAATCTTTCTTGTGTACATTTCTTCGATCTTCATTCTTACTTATTACTCTCTCTCTTCCCTCGTCAACGCATGTCTCATTGTCTCACCTCCTCTCTTTTCTTTTCCCCCCTCCTTCCCCTGAACTCATCCACATTCTTCTCCCCAGATCGTTGAACTTTGTTGTTGGCTTCTCCTGTATGATCGTCACCCCCACTGGTCTAGAGTTTGTCTTCCCACTTTAGCCAAAACAATGGCGTACCACGACGAGAGTCATTACTACTCCCCTCGCGATCGCTATGCGCGCCCATCCAGTGTCTACTCGCAAGATTATTACGCCGGCGATGGTCCCTACAGTGGCAGTCGCCATGAAACGGGCGTCGTCCGTCGGCACGACGGGAGCAACGAATCTCTTCCGGGAGATTATGGCTATGAATATGGATATGGTCTCCCCCCTCAGTCTCGCCGCTCCAGGGTTTCCGCCGTCCAAGAAGATGTGCACAGGTCCCACTCCATGGGAGGCCGTGGTTCATATTATGATGATCCCGACTATCATCATTCGCGCCATAGTCGTCGTTCAAAACGCTATGATTACGATGATCCACGTATGTATTCTGTTTCTTGGGAGTAGAAAAAGGTCAAACTAGTGTGGCTGGGGTATCCTCAACTAACCTTGTTGCAACAGGCGACCGTTACAGGCGCTCACAGCGTTCCCCATCTAGCAGCCGATCGCCTCCCCGCAGACGCCGTAAATCCCTGTCAGAGCAGGCCATGGAAGCCCTAGGTATAGGTTCTGCTTCCTCCTCGGCCTCCAAGCATCACGAGCACCGTCGCGGGCGTTCCCATGGCCATCATAGCAAGTCCTACTCTTATTCACCTTCTCCGACTCGGAGCAGAAGCCGTCATCGTCGGGATCGGAGTGAGCAGCGAATTGCACAAGCCATGAAAGCAGCTCTGACTGCAGGCGCAGTGGAAGCTTTCCGCGTGCGCAAAGAACCCGGCGACTGGACGGGAGCGAAAGGCAAACGGATTCTCACTGCCGCTTTGACAGCGGGTGGTACTGATGGAATCGTGGACCGCGATCCTAACAAACATTCCAAGCGCCATATTATCGAGTCTACACTGGCTGGTCTGGCCGCGAACCATTTTGTGAACGGTCCCCGGTCCAAGTCCCGGTCCAAGTCCCGCGGTCGCGAAAAGAGTAAGAGTAAACTGCCTGATCTTGCCGCCGCTGGAGCCCTGGCTGCCGCTGGGAAGGAAGCGTATAGTCGGTTTCGGTCCCGGTCCCGTCCACGTGGTCGGTCTCCCTCGCGGGACAGCCAGGAAGATTCCCCGCGCCGGCCCAGAAGGCGGAGTAAGAGCGTTTCCGACTATATCAACCGGGGCATGGAAGCGCTAGGCCTTGAAAACAAGGAGAAGGACAAAGACAGCCGGAGACGGCATCACGATCGACCCTCTCGCCGGGATGACTACTCGGACTATGACTCGGATAGTGACTACGGATCGAGGCACCATGGGAGCTCAAGACGAACTCGGCATTCCAGAGATGTAGGTCGATCTCTAAACCCTGGCAGTAATCATTCGCCATCCTCCCCCAGTAGGTCCGGAGCCTCAGGCGAGGAAGGCCACACTTACCACCAGGATATGAACTCAAACTCGGAGATGGATTCTGACCTTGGAAGCAGTACCGATGAGGAGCACCAGCACAAAAAGCTGACGCGGAAGATGCTCCTAACTACCGGTCTGGCCACCGTAGCAACCATCCACGCCGCCCACGGTTTACACGGAAGCATGGAAAAGCATAAGAAACGAGTCAAAATGGTTAAGGAGGGTGACATGTCCCCCGAAGAAGCACGCAAACTCAGACTGAAAAACAATCTTGGCGACGCCGCGAGTGTAGGTCTCGCAACGCTGGGCATCAAAGGTGCAATCGACGAATGGAGACACGTCGGCCATATGCGCAAACAGTGCAAAGATTTCCGAAAACAGTGCGATTCGAGACGAGAACGCCGCCGGGCTCAAAGTTACGGAGACATACCACGCTATTACACGATGTATCCCGACGAAATCGAAGAATACCCCCCCTCTGAACGTGGATCGAGAGGTCGGTCTATGTCGGTAGCCCAAGAAGTATGATTTGACTTGCGAAAAATACCTGAAACACGAAATTGAGATTGCCAGTTTGCGGATTTTATAACTTATGACTGTATGATAATGATTGCCATGGCGGTGATGACCTTATGACTTTCTTTTGTTACTTCATTTCATGTGCTTTGCAAGTTTATGTCTTTATGTAAGTGGACTTTTTGCCTCTATATGTCGAGTCTGAATTTTATTTCGGGTAGCATATTCTTTATCTCTGCTCTCAGTACCCTCATACAGCGCTCTGCATACTTAGTATCCAACTTGCAAGCGAGGTAACCCCTATAGTACATATTACACGGTGTAAAACCACCTTAACACAGGAAGATAGGATAGTTCACCAACCACAATAACCATGCTTACCTATGAAGCAAAAGCTAAACCCCCTAATTAGCCCAGGCCACATTCAGCATCATACACCCTTAAGGTCAAATCTAGGTAACCAATCTCCTCCAGAAACGCCCAGAAGCACAGACCCCTGCATCCCTTACGCCAGATCCCTTAACAATGCGGAGTACATACCGCATGCATTGGGTAGATGACATGTCGAGATTAAATACGGAGCATATGGCATGATCACGCCTCAAATAAAGTAAAGTGGCTGGGGGGTCCTGGTTCTGTGATTGGGTGTGGGTGAGTAAGATTTAGTAAATTAATATGCGTAGATTGGGGACGGAGAGAATTGCGGGTCATTGGATTAAATTGCTGTGTGGCATTTATGGGAGGAAAAAAACAAACTCTATGTACGACTCCGAAGCACAACACCGGTATCCCGTCCCAGTAAAAAAGAGGAATCCAAAGCAAATGATGGGTTTCATGAAAGCGACTGAAAAGTAAACCAAATAGGAACAAGATGATGCGTAGATGCATGGAGGACGAGTCACAACAGGTGGAATTGGGACGCTTCAACGATCAATCCTAGTGCGAGGCAGAACAGAAACATGTGCAGTGAGATGCTGAAACTATAAGAAAGGCGCGGCTAGCTGTACATTCCATCCGTCGTGGAAGAGAGCAAGGAAAGTGAAACATTTTTACAGGAGTCTTTTTTCCGGCTGGTATTAGGGCATAGCTAAGTCTGGAAAGGAGCGGATTAGACTCAGTCTGGGACGGATGGCGGTTAAGGAGAGGAGGTTCGGGGAAGCTTCAAGGAATGTGTTTCTGGTTCAAACTCGTGAAGGTCAACGTTCGGCATTGAGATTCAACCAGCTCATATCAGAGTTGATATTGTTATTGTTGCGAGGGTCGCGCGGTGGGACGGGTTCGACGCTCTCGGGGATGAGCACGCTCGAGCCGCGCGTGTTCATGCGGGTATCGCGTAATGGGGTCACGAGTGAGGGCACGTCCGACGTGCTCGGGTTGTAATAGCTCGGATTATAGTAACTTCTGCTGTAGGTGCTGCTTGGGGGGCGGCCAAGCCAGCTTTGTTGTGCACGTGACCCGTGATCATCGTAGTCCTCGACCGATTCGACCGTGATGTCACTCGCAGTGGAGATGCGAGCGGACTGGCTCTCGGGGATTGTGATGTATTGTCCATTTTTAGGTGACGTAGCATGCTCGGTGGTGGGGCTGCCACTCACGACACATCCCAACGGTTTCGGTGCTTCTAAGAAGTTGGTGTTCAAAGGCGTCAAGGTCTTCATCGGCCATGCAGTAGCTGTCGTGGCCGTCGAGTCAGGCCGGGCGGGTACAGCTGCCGGCGGAACCATCAGAGGCGCCGCACTGTTATCTTGGAAATACCTACCCCAGCCTTCACTCGTTCGCCGGTCTCCGGGATGGCTTCCGGGTAGGGAGTCTTGGGCCTCGATGGCCTTGTCGAATTCACCTGAACTGATCTCCCTACTGGACTGAATGGTGCTCAAGGGACTCGGCTTGTGATCGAAACCGGGAGGGGCACCGGCTGACTTCGGTGACTTTTCCTCGCCGACATGACCGGAGAAGATGGCAAGAGAGTCCACCGACGATGCCGCGAGCGGTGCAGGGCTCTTTGCCATCGGATATGCGGACTGAGTCAATGGCTCGACACCTCGGTCCTGGAAGCTTAAGCGATCCTTGTCACCACCATTTTGACCCTGAACAGCTCGCTTCTTGGCATCCTTCTTATGCTTCAGAATGAAGAGGATTACAATCAAAATGGCAGCAATTCCTACAATACCTCCAAGCGTGGCCCCAATGATCGTGCCAACATCGCTGCTCGAGGAGTCGTCGCTGGCCGGGGTGCTGGAAGTCTCACTGGATCCGCTTGCAGTAGCGGTCGGGGTTGAGGTCGTTGTTCCAAGAATTTGTTGCGAGGTCTGGTCGCCGTAGAATAGCTTGGTTGCATTTACCCAACTGTTCGACGTTTGGTTGAAAATTGCCAGGGTGTCCGTGCCACTGCCGCTGGAGATAACCACCAACCCATCGTTGCCCTGTGCCAGTGAGTAGTCTTTTCGTGTTGTGGTGGGCGCCAAGGAGTCGTCGTATGTTGGATAATCATCGAGGGCGATCCCCCTCTTGGTCGAGGATGATTCAGAGCTGTTTCCTTTGTGAGCTGGGTTGCCGTCAGGATTGAGCAAGGTTATGCTGGTGACATTGTTGGGTGATGCGCTCATGTCGAAAGCTTCGAGAATTTTGCTGCCGTCGGTCCCATTGACAAGAGCGCATTGTACATCGTCCGACAGGGGTGTTGGGATGGTCACATCGGAGCTGTGCCAGCCTTGGATGAGATCGAACAAATGCACTTCATCCGGGGTCGTCAATCCGCCAACCAGCGCAGCCTCCTTGTCGTTCCATGGCAGTAGTACGGGATCGTAAGCCGGGGATGCATTTTCGGCCGAATATGCTGAAAGATTGTAGGGCTCCTGCGTATTGATTGCAAACGTGTCCGACGACGCATCGGTTTGGTCACGTTGGTGGCCGCCGTAAATCAGAAGAGCGGAGGACGATTTGAGATAGACCGCTTTATGGGAGGTTCGATTGGCCATGTTCCCGCTGACGCTGTCGATTGTCTTCCACTTTTTGTCTTTGAACGAGTATCGCTGTAGCCCTGAGCTTACGCCCTTGGACGGCGTTCCTCCGATCACATAAAGCGCCTGCTGATCCTCGTTACCGTCCGTTCCTCCTGTAACGCAAGCGGCTTTGGAAACCGGTTGTCCCATAGGCAATTGACTCCATGTCGCATTGCGTTCGAGTGAGATCGAAGCGAAACCATTGGCTGAGTAGGTGTATAAAGTATTGTCGTGAATGACGGAACAGTGGTCCTCCAATTTCACAGGAGGCTTAGGAACGATCATATCGAATGACAGAACAAGTGAGTTTCTTCGAGAAGGCCAGCCGAAGATAATCAGGTATTAACCAGCCGCCAGAGGTGTGAACACGGGCGGAAGGGTAGAGAACGAATGGAAGGTGACTGCCAGAGCACTATCTCATGGTCGAGGGGCGATTGATCGTTTGAGGCGCTGGGCCGTGAAGGTGTTTTCAACCTGTTACCAACCTTCCCGGAATCAACCAGAGGGGTAAATTTGTCTTCGGATACTTCAAGATAGCGAGTGATTTTTTTTCTTCTTTTTCTTTTTTCTTACGAAACTTCCTTTCCCAAATCTATACGTGTGCGTGATACTATAAAGGAGCGATTCGAACCAGGATCAGTTGGGGATCACTGGAGTTAAGACCACCCCACGATATACCTCAAAAAGGGATAGCTGTTGCGCAAAAAAGAATGGCGACCTGTCTCGAAGTGGTCAACAGGGAATTCAGGGGGAGAGGCAAGTTCGTATTAATGCGCGATATCAAATCGGCAATGAGGGAGAAGGAAAGCGAGCGACAAGGTTCTCGAACGAACAGGAAACGAGGGAAGAAAGAGACAAAGGTGGGTTAGAAGGAAGAGAACGAGAGAGAGCAGCGCAGCCGAGCGTCAGGAGAGAAAGATCAAATCGTGTCTGGATGGGCGCAGGGAGAAGGATGAAACAACGGAGGGCAGCTTAGACCAGCACTAGGGGCGGACTCACCCTAAAGTTGATATTCTCCCGAGAACAATTAAATTGAACTCGATGTCATCTAGGCACTGGGAGAGGAAGGCCGGGAGAAACACAGGAATTGAATCAAATGAATCATTCACACCGTGCCCATCCAAATTGAACCTGCCAGCACGTTCTCGGTATACAGGGATGTGGAAAAAGAAACGAAACGTGGAGAAGAAAAACTGATGGACGGTTGACGGAGAAGCCTGAGGAGGGCACGCTAACGGCTAACAGGCCCTCGACACCTGAGGTGTGCATGTGGATCAATTGGGTGCGAGAAGCCTAAGACAACTCTCCATACCAGACACGGCACTTCCACTCCGTCCGTTATTTTTTATTTTCTGTTATTTTCTGTTTTACTTCTTATTCCAGCTGATCGCGTTGACACACAAACATTTTCTGGTTCGACGTGTTTCCCTCTTAAACTCCATCCTTACATAGGGATTTTGCGAAGGTGCCGTGCGGCAAGGGGATATCCACATCAAATTAAACATCATAACAATTCCCCCCCAATCTATACCAGAAATCCACTTTACCCGGGCCAGGTTACTCAGGGGTTCCATCCAATGGTTCGGGATGGTGTCATCCAGCCCACCGCATACCCATGGTTCTATCGTTCTCCCGAAGTTTGGAATGATATCTCCCCATTTTCCTTGTTTACTCCCCTTTTCTCCCGTTCTATAAAGTTCAAGAGCATATCCCAAGATTGAGAGGACTCTTATTGAATTTTTCCTTCTTCTATATCTTTTTCCCCTCTTCCCTTTTTTTCCGGCATTCCCTCTAGATAATACCCTTGCACCCCCTCTTCTAGGGCGAGGATAAACCAGATTAATGGTGCCTAACCAGAAAATTTCAATCCAATGATAGTTTTCCATGGCGTAGTCGATTGATTAAAAACCCATGGCATTGGCCCCAGTGGCATCCTGGGCGAGGGTGGTATTATATTAATCACCATGAGCAGAGCCAGTGAGGTACGGAGAACCCGCATGAAAATTCTTAAGGGCAGTGATGAGCAGGTGACCGAGTTGATTGGTCCAGTCGCCAGGAACAGGGCCAGCACGGGCCTCGGCTGCAGCCCATTAGTCCGTATTATTAGTCCTAGAATCCTACCTAATAACGTGGAAGCAATGCAGGTACTACTCTTTTGCTTCGCTTCCCCCCGCGTAGGACAGGTCAGATGTCACTTGGATAATTTCCCCCCGTCACCAGTCAAGGTTGTCACACATCAAGAACCCGCGCAAATCATAATGGGACCCTTTTATTAGCCCAGCTAGACTTTTTGTCACCCGAAAATTCTCTCTTCCTCTCTCGCTTGGGACGACAGCCCGCCCAATGAAACCCCCTCGACCCAGTATTTTTCCATAAATAAACCTCCCGCCATTGTTGGACGGTACGGTACCACTGGTACTGTACTAAGTTCTAACAAACGGAGTACACTAAACATACAAGTACCGTCTCGACTAGTCGCATACTTCCCGTCCATCTCTCCCGCCATGATTGGCTGGTACCCCTGCTGGGCCTGTCCCCACTTGTCCTTCGGCTACCGAATCGTGTCTGACGAACTGGACATTGACCCACCGGCATCAGGTGGTTATTACCTCAGGCCTTCCACTCGACAGGATATACTTTGGTAACGCTGTCCATTGCATGGTACAAGGGATTTCGATTCTGTTATCAATCTAACTCTTATGATACTTTCGCTTACGTGAATTAAACATGACACTATCGGCCCAGAACATTGTCTTTTTCACTCGATCTGTATATTACCTGGTTCGGAGGCTGTGCCGTGGTGAATTTAGGTTGGGATTCATCACATAATAAGGAATAGATATAGAGCATTTCTTTAATCATACAATTCTTTTGGTGAAAATATCAGTGTACTTCAGTAGGACACAGTGAGCCTGTATAGAAATTCCCTAAGAGTAATATATTCAACCCGACGGATGAATATATATACACACATACACACATATATATAGTCCTAATGATGCCAACTCTCCAAAAACTCCACCTCGTTTTCCTTCTTACCCTACCAACTCAAGTCAATACCTAAACTGAAACCCAAAGCGGATCCCCAAGGGTCCTTATACAGATCTTCCATAGTAAGTCTAGTATAGATAGCCCACAAACTTAGAAATGATGTCGTGCTCTTCGGCCCAACTAGCACTCACTAATATATTTCAGGTTCATGTTCAGAACAAAAAAAAAAGCCTCCAAAGAGTAACAGGAAGATCTTTGAGCATGGAAGACTTACAAAAAGTTGGTCTTCTGAGCCCTTCTCCATATATACTTTGATACAGAAGCCAGTCCGGCAAGATTGTCCGAAGTTTTCGCTGGACAAGGGATGTTGTGGATTATGGTAAATCTTCGCCACTAGGACAGTGGTATCTAAAAAACATATTCTCGGTTCCTGGCTTCAATTAATATCTGGTCTAACAAGGCTCCGTGACGACAGGAACCTCTGGCTGCAGGGTAGAGCGCCGCATACAAATGCCGCGGTTCTCTTAAAGTGGAACAAGAGGATCAATAACCGGGTTGCTGGCTTTCTAGAGATACATCGCCATGATGATGTGAGCGTTGAGGGCTCCAAATTCGTGGCGTAATATACCTCACGAGCTACGCAACAAATTGTGTCTCCCTGCATGCAGCATATTTATTACCACCCCAGGTTTTAGAACGGAATATCCCAACTGAGGACTTGACTAGCACTCTGCTATCCAGTCTAGGACCAGCACCATTGGGCGCAATGAAGCGCAATTTCTACCTGCCGGTTACTGCGGTGTACGGCAAATGGTGTTCTAGACTATGGTGTACGCATTCTCCCTGTGCGGTACAATACACATAGCGGGAAACCCAAGGGAAAGGCCGGGATTCTTCCTCGGCGCTAGCATGGCAAGTTATATAATACACAAGTCTGCGACAGGGTCGGTCATGGGGTTATGTGCTTAACCGGGTCCAGTATTATATCATTTATTCTAAGCTTTTGAAGCTTGGTGGATGGAGTCAGAAAGTCTCTCGAAGTATTCAGACTCAGGGAGCTACTTAGGGAAAGCCATTTGGTCGTTGTTCTGAGACATACCCTCTCTGGTTGTTGCTCTGGTCTGTATAATTTCCTGCCAACTACAGGGAAGCTGCTGCTGATAGAATCTAGTGGTCAAGAAGTGTCAGAACGTGTCTACGGACTGGCGTTGTCGAAATGGTATATGATGGCACCGAAGTACTACAATACTGCTGTTGCTGTGGCTGCGGCGCACCCTAATGTCTAGACTGGTGGTGGAACATGGGGCGGATGGTTTTTGTCAGATTTTGATACATTTGTGGCCTGAATGAAAGGCCTAAGACTAAATAAACGTGGCCCATAGCGGACAAAGCTAGGGTAACCTGGATTCAGCTCCTTCGAGGGGCTTGTCTAAATGGGGCTAACACCGCCCAGTCCTGGACTGACTTCGAACCAGTCCTCGATATGGAGTGCCACAAAGCCATCCCTAATGGGAAGATCTTATAGCACGGAGGAAGTGGTGGGTGGTCTTGCAGGAAAACTTCAGCTGCTGCTGTGGTTGTTGTGGCTGCTAAGAGGAAGACTAGAACGGGACTGTCCTACTGGAGGAGGTTCTGGAAGAGGTTCCGGCGGCAACAGTTTTCGACATAGGGCTTATAAAAAGCCCGAATCGGTCGGAGTCAATCTATAATTCGAAACTTGGCTCATCTGGAGAATACAGAGGAAGCGAGTACAAGGACTGTCCAACTATATACTCTTCTATAATAACTCCGCAAAGAGCGCGAGTACCCTCCTAATTGTGGAGGTAAAAAGATGTGATAAATATACCTGTGGCCCGGCTGAGCTTTTTGCTTATATAGGTAAGTTATATAATATCCAATCTCTTTATACACTATTTACTAACTGGTCATTAGCAATATTTGTCGAGGCTAGACATTTTGCCGGAGAAGCAGAAAACCCAGGAGTCTTTGGCCTTCTGTCAGACGGATACATGTTCTACTTCTACCGGCTCTTTGAGGGCATGAAGTTAAAACAATAAACACTATTTTTGAAGGTAATGGCGGCTAACTTCAGAGTATGAAGTACACCGTGCACACTGTGCATTGGTAAAGGGGCTGAATCATCTACACCATCATAGGCCGCCGCATCGGAATATATCATCCTGGAGGCGTACACATGGAATAGAAAGAAGGGGCCGCAAAACGCCTTCTTGTTCTGACACAGGCACAGAATATGCACCAGCTGATATGTAGTCAGGGCCCCTCTGTATCTAGGTTATCATTCGAGGTCTTTAATGAGACTAGAGGTCTAAGGGCAGGCCGGCTGCTGTTGGTGCCGTGAGCGACTCAACAAGAAAAAAGCTGCTAGAGACTTTGAGCGCCAAATCTCTGCACGAGCGGTTGATGGCGAAGAGTACAAAGAGATTCTACGAACAGAAGACCAAATGTTACCAGAATAGACATAATCTCTCGAAGATGTACTCATATGGGACAGTGACCAAACTTGTAACTGCTCGCAAGTCGTCGTTTGCTTATTTCACGTTTTATGCTAGTCGCCCAACAAATTGTCAACTTGTCAACAGGCTTTGTTTTTTTGTAGTTTTATGCCTTTTCTGACTTCTTGACTACTCATCTATTAAGCCAACAGACTGTCAATAGGCTTCGTGGTCATCCAGCTGCATTTATTTCCTTGTGTTCAATGCCCAATCGCTCGTAATGTTTTAGTCGCTATGAGGACATGGCTTGTCTATGCCCACTACACTTGCAGATGACTCCCAATGAAGCAGAAATTCAGAAACCTCGGGTTATTCAACCTCTTGCACATCTCACTGCGCCTGTTTGAGAACCGCTCCGCGGCTATACCGGCAGTTATTTAATGTTTGATCTGCGTCAGCTGAGCCATACTACTAGTATCTGCATATCGTCAGCTGAGCCATACTAACTAGTATCTGCATATCGTCAGCTGAGCCATACTACTAGTATCTGCATATCGTCAGCTGAGTTATAAGCGAAGACCCTCCCCGGCTTCCCAGAGTTGCGAGAAGGGCTCAGCAGCCACATACAGAGTTGATATTTGTCTACGAAAATACAGACCCCGGCGCGGCTTTCTGATTCCCTTAAAAATCCTTTCCCAAGAATATCCGTCAACACCATAACCTATAGCCATGCCACAAGGCGTAGTGAAATGGTGGGAGCCCGAGAAAGGGTATGGATTCATCGAATTAAACGGCTCGCCGGACATTTTTGTCCATTACACTGGCCTTCAAGTATGTACAGAATAACGGAGAAAGGACACATCTGGATGATAGCGTGCTAAAAGACAACCCTTCTTGTTTTAGCCCGGGCAGAGGGGTTTAGAGGAGAATCAATTGGTCGAGTTCCAAGTGACACAGGGAACAAAGGGACCTCAAGCTACCGATGTCAAGGTGATTGGGTAGGCAATGTCTTCAATAAATGCGGTTTCATGTGCATGTACAGAGCCTTCTGTCATGAATCGGTTTGCACTAGATGCACCTTGGCCCCGTTTGTGGACTGGGCGCTGCGCTACGTGGCGCGGGGTAATCGATGTAGATACTGGGTATGAGGAGATCATCCTGGTCCACCGTATATATCATTTTCTTGGTCATGCTCTAGTGAGGATAATTCGAATGAGAACCTTGATCCTGTATAGCAATAGCCACGAATGCAAAGATAGTATCCATCCAGAGGGAGTATTCCACTTCCACCCGGGCATCAGCAATTCTGGTCTAGGATCAGCTGTCTCGATGGCTTCGCACACAAATCCCCGGTCACAGCCTTGCGACATAGCACCTTAGTCCAAGGTGTAGCCCGGTCTAACTAGTACAAATCGCAGACTATCTCGTGCTGAGGGGACCATCCATGGCTGAAACTCATCCGCACATATATAGTCGTAGTATTCAAACCCCGATTTCTCCATTACCCGGCCCGAAGCCGGATTCTCGGTGTCACAGCGTCCTATCAATCGATAGTGGTGGGGGTAGATCTTCCAGAACAACTCCGTGAACGTGAGTAGTGCTTCGGTCGCAATCCCAAGCCCCCATGCAGATCGATGGATACTATAGAAGACGTCGGGCACCTGATCAAGTCTGTAGACACCTATAAAGCCGACGAACCCTCCAGGTACGAGAACAGTGTCACTATCTGTACTGTTCTCACTTGTACTGTCATTGTCTGTGGCTTCTGTGCATTGTGGCCTATCAATTGTCTTGGGATCAAGGTCACGGCGGAGGAGGATTGCGTATGTATCTCGTGTAGGGTCGACACTCGACAGTGTTCCTAATAGCTCTTGTTCTGCTTCATCTATTGAGGTGATTGGCTGGGGCCTGTTCCATTTCTCAATTTCCCAATCAGATCGCAACGAAAAATAATCTGGCAAATGGTCTTTGGATAAGGGGACCAGTTCAAGCCGGGTTGATTGCATAATGTGAGGTTGAAGATGGTGGTAGGGTACTGGGAAGAGTCTGAGGATATGGTTCAATTAGGTTTCGCTGCCAACATTCGTTACAATAGGACAGTTGTCCAGCGCTTTTTAAATCTCGGCAACCTAGGTTATACGTAGCAGAGCCACAAATTGCGTAAAAGGCAGAGTGATCGCCACTTGCCGATGGTGTATCAAGTGGGTAAACAGGAGATTTGCACTGCCACAGATTCAGCCCTGGCTATGGGCCCGTAAAAATATTGGTCTTCAGCCGGATACCCGACCATGAAGGGAAATTGTCGTTGTTGATCTGGTAACGATTGCCAATAGGTCACAGGACCAACACTAATTAGGCATACGGAGTATGAGCGCTCTTTAGCATGTTCCTGTAAAAGCGGTGTGTACTGGTGTGTTGCCATGAGTCTGATATCTAATAGCGAGTTTCTGACACGTCTTCAATAGAGGCGTCGGTCCCTCGGGGAGACAACGCGACAGAGGAATTTGTTCTTCCTGTGGATAGTCTTCTGACCTCGATCATTTGAGAGGGGCCCTAAAGATTGTATAGGGAGTCGGTGGGGCGGGCTCGTCTCAGCTTTGATAAATTTGGCCAGTTGTCTAGAAAGTATATTCCGGAGCCCTGAGTGATAGGGCATAATTTAAATACAGGTGGGGATTCAAGGCCCTTGCCACAGGTAGGATCCACTTCACGATCTTTCAGGCCCTGGCATGAATACTGTGGCATTTTGGGTCTGCATGTCAGAGCTGACAAGATCCAGTGTCGTTGATTTGCTTCAGATTTGTGCATATATAACTAGAGCTCTATACCATATTCCATTAAAAGGAAGCTGCTTAGAATTCGGAAGATCGATTGAATATTGGAGAGGGGGAACTTAGGGTTAGGAAGGCTATATAGCAAAAGTAACGATCTTATAAGAAAATTCTTAGACGCACTCTGAGAATTATGGAAATTAGAAACTAGAAATAGATAAATGCAAGTTATGAATGGTCGTCCCGACACCTTTCATACTATATTACACCGATCCCCTTTGTAGCACGGGTTAGACTTGTACAGGCAATATGGTTCATGATCATTATTTTGTTGGGATTAGTTCTACCTGATTTTGATATAAACTGCATCGACGGCCCATCCCATGGTATGTACCCATAGCCCACATATAAATTGAAACACAACTCTTTACCTTTCTGGTGAATACCCAGCCTATCATGCCTGACCCGACTTCCAGGCGTGTGCTCTCTGTAGCAGCTTGGACAGGTTGGCTGCTGATTGATCGTCGGCCGGGAACACGTAGTCCATGTATTCTTCGTACCGGTCGTCGTCCAACTTGCGACGCTTCTTGACGCGACGTGGCATCTGCTTCTCGATCTTGTCGATGTCTTCGGGAGACCCATGCGTATGTTCGAATGACCGCCAGGCATTGAGGAGTTCCACACGCTGTACAAGGTTAGAACCAAGACTTCCCTCTTCCCACATATCAAGGCACAACTTACCTCTTCCTTGAGCTCCTTTTCTTTGAACACCTTGTGTGCACGGTTGAAGACCGCCCGAGCGCGCCGTTTGGCCTCGTCGCTGACTGGCCGTTCCTCCTCCTCCTCTTCCTCTTCCTCGTCTTCCGGTATGTTGATCTCGAACCGAGCATAGTTGATCCACACCTTGACGTGGTCGGTCTTCTCCAGAAGACGCTCGTAGAGCTGCCGGACTCTGTCATACTCGCCTTCGTATTCCTCGAAATCGATGTATGACTTCCACACAAGCTCCGGCATATCCAGAGTAGGTTGGTCAATTCCTAACTCAAAGATGGCCCGCGCACGATCGCTATCATCTAGACCCCGCTCCAGCTCGGCATACTGGATCCAGGACTGACTGTTGGAGGGATTCCACTCGATCTGCTTCTCGAACAGTGTCCGGCACCGTAGAAACTCGAAAAGCTGGCGCTCGAGATCGATGTAGCCTCTGAAGAGCTTGTCCTTGGGACACATACCGATCGCCTGGCCTAATGTCTTGCGGGCGGTTTGGAGCTCCATCTGGCGGATTTCAAACTGGGCTTTCATGAGCCATATCTTGGCAAATGTAAACTTTTTGTGGGGAATGAGCTTCAGGCATTCGTTATAGATTTGACGAGCACGTTCCATGTCTTTGGCTTCCATTTCTTCCCAGATGGCATAGAATATCCAGAGATAGATATAACGTCTCCAGTGCCGCTTCTCCTGTGACGGAGGAATCTGTGCAATGGCCCGTTCGTATGTGTCACGTACCCGCTCAGGGTCACCGGAGGTCTCTTCGAGGCGAGTAAAGTCAAACCAAATGTCGTAGTTCCGAGGGTTCTCCTTGAGTTGCTCCTCGTACTGGACTCGGCGTTTGGAAAGAATGACATCCTCAACACCCTCCCTATCACCAAACTGCTTCTCGAATGTAGTATAGGCTTTGTGCAATGTAACGGACTTAGAGCGGGGAAGTCGGTCAAGAGCATATTTGTATATAGCACGTGCACGCTCATACTCCTTCATCTTCGCCTCGAACTTGGCATAGGCGATAAAAAGCCTCTCATCCATGAAGTCTTCACCCAACGCTTCAACTCCTGCACCGTAGACTTCTCTCACCAAATCACTAGTCCCGTACTCCTCTTCAAATCGAGCCCACTTGATCCAGTTCCTCGGTTCAGGATGAACAATCGTGAAACGTTGGAAGATATTGCGCGCCCTCTCGAATTCATTGTACCGCTTCTCGAGCTTGATATACGCACTCCAGGCTCCCTCCTCCGGCTCCCATGACATCCATCGCTCAAAGACCTGCCGAGTACCAGGGATATTCCCCAAAGTCTCTTCCATATAAACGTACTTGTACCAGAGCTTATCGACACGGGGCAAGATCGTCACTGCACGGTCAAGCAAGTTCCTCGCATGGTTGATATTCCTGTTTCGCATCTCCGCCTCGATGTATCGGATCCACAGCGGTACTGAGGTCGGGAGAACGTCCAACGCTCGCTCGAAGATAGAACGCGCCCGACGGAATTCCTTCTGTTCAAGTTCCCATGATGCATAGCGCATCCAGTTGTTCATGTTAATCCGGTTTCGGCGAACATAGTCCTCGAACTCCTTTCTCTTGCGACCTTGGTACTCGTGCAATTCTTCCAAGTCGGCAAATCGCTGTGTCGGGGCTTGCAACGCGGGTTCCTGCCGGTCGACAGCCTCACGGAGCAGCTGCTCCGCTGAGATCTGGATCGGCGCAGCGGCCTTGTTCTTGACCCTGGGAGGGCCGCGAGACGACTCCATGGTGAAGTGAGATTATATCAAGCAGGTAAGCTGTCGGCGACGCGTATTCGGACGGGTGTTGGGTAGAGCACACCACCTCAGTTGACTATAGGAGGACAGTGTACCTCCTCCGGAAGCAAGGGGCCTAGAAATTAGCTTCTAACCGACCGCGCGGTATCGGGACAGCTCCAAGTCAGATGTCGTTGCTACTGAGTCGACTTTTGGTTCTGCTAGCCAAGAGTCGGAAAAGCTGCATGTCAGGTTCGTAGCGCCACCCGAGATCAGCAGCTCTGGAGGTGGGTGACTAAGCAAATGACCTAAATGGAAAAGCAACTCGGCGGCGGCGTCGAAGGTTCATTCAACCACCACTTCACCTTATTCATAGTTCACCTCTTGGTCGTGTCGCAGCTCGCTCATCATGTCTACTGCTGAGGAGCTCTTGAGGGATTTTGAATCGGACGACGAGGACTTCCAGGCGGGCGAGGGAGTCGAGGAGGATGTGGACGAAGAGCAGCAGCACCTACAAAAAGCTGGCTCTGAGGTCACTAATGAGTTCGAGGTCGCCCTCTCCACCGGTGACGAGCTTACTCGCCTACACAAAGTTTTACGCGACCACTACTCGGTCAGATTTCCAGAATTAGAAACCCTTGTTACGAGTCCGATCGACTACGCGAAGACAGTCGGTATCTTAAAAAATGGCCCGCTCAACGATATCAAAGCTATCTCCTCGTCGGCCGACAATATGGTCGGCGAGCCGTTGAAGTCTATATTGGATGGCCCCTCATTGATGGTCGTTTCTGTGGAGGGTACCACCACCAGAGGCCGTGAAATGACCGAGTCGGAATTGAAGACGGTGCTCGATACTTGCGAGCGGATTTTGAAGTTGGATCGAGAGCGGAAGGCGCTTACGGAAAGCATCCAGTCTCGCATCACGCAGATCGCCCCCAATCTAGCCGCCTTGATCGGGCCAGAGACAGCAGCTCAGTTCCTTAACCAGACCGGAGGACTACGTGAACTCGCTAAGATCCCGGCGTGCAATCTGGGTGCTCAAGGCAATAAGAAAACCGAAGGGCTAGGCTTTGCTACGAATATTGGCGTCAGATCGCGGGGATTTATCTACAATTCGGAACTGATACAGGGTGTCCCGGATGACCTGAAGCGCCAGGCAATCCGTATTGTCTCAGCTAAGATGGTCCTTGCTACCCGTGCGGATGTATCCAACTTTAGCCCCGACGGATCGCTAGGCGAAGATCTGAAACAACAATGCTTCACGCGGCTAGAGAAGCTGACGGAACCTCCTCCGAATTCTGGAGTGAAGGCGCTCCCTGCCCCCGATGACAAGCCAGCCCGCAAGCGAGGTGGTAGAAGAGCTAGAAAGGCCAAGGAAGCAGTTGCTATGACAGAGATTCGCAAGGCCCAGAATCGGATGGCCTCGGTAAGGAAGAAGCGGAAGTCGGTTACGGTACAGGTGAAGGAACAGTTGGGTTGGGAATGCTCGGCCAGCAGAATGATGGACGGGTTCGAGCAACTCAGATCGATAACAGGACCCGAGCCAAACTCAGCAAGTCGAACAAAGGCTGGGGAACCGCGACACCCGCCAGTGGCACCGCTTCGTCTCTCCGTGGGTTCAGCTCTGGGGTTGGAGGAACGGCAAGTGTTCTACAAGCCAAAGGGCTTCGCTCTTCCGGCATTGGTACTTCGCTGGGCGGCAGCGGTACGGCTAGTACCATTGCCTTTACGCCCGTGCAGGGACTTGAGCTCGTTGACCCCAAGGTGCAAGCAGAGTTAAGCCGTAAACGTAAGGCAGAGGAAGACCGATGGTTCAAGTCGGGTACTTTCACACAGGTTGGCGGTAGCCAAAGCCACAATAACTCTTCGCAGAAGGATAACGGAGGTTTCAAGGTGCCACCGATTCCTCCACAGAAGAAGGTCGATACAGGCAATGGTAAGATGGGCCCTCCGCCGTTGCCCCTAAAGCGATAGTGGGGCTTCCATTTATTTTTTTTCCTGAGCATCTTAAGAAAGGCGTTTTTGAGATTGGGGATCCGTTCGGAATTCGCATGATACCATCGACCAATGTATGATAACCTCGAGACAATTGAAAACTCGACGAGAATGAAATGTACTAGAGCTTATTGCTTCAGATTTTCACATATGAATCACTGTATTTGTATTTGTGCCGGTAGACTCTCGGATAACCCTGGCCGTGCCACGTGCCGATTGCCAGGTACCATGGAACTGGTGACGAAATACTCCGGGTCGGCCGTAAAATTCTGTGAAGATGGCGTGCTAGTCCCAAGATTTCGCCGCTAGAACATCTCGGGAATAGTTCTGGCACGTCAGATTCACGCTCAGGCGTTGCGAAAACTAAAGATACACTCATAAAGAATGATTTACTTGGCTCAATGGCTGGCATTTTGTTCATTATTAATTTTCTGAAACCAGTCCGGGGACATCATTGCCCTAAAGACGCCAAAAACGGGGGCGCTAAGCATAAAGTTGCTTTAGTTGAAAATCCCCCGGCAAGCGACGGCCCAATGGTGAGCCGTCTTTCCGAATGGGCCTCAGGCAGTCTCGTCAGCGTATTGCGTGCTTTGAAGGGGAGTTCGCTCAATACCGCCCCTTTCCCCGGGGGGGGGGGGCGTTTGAGATATATAGGCGACGTTTCGTCGCTATGTAGACTTTTCCCATTTGTCTCTCCTTTCCCTTCGTTTTCGAGCAAAAAGTCTGTCCTTCCGCAGTGTTCTCTGGCTTCTTTGATACCCAATTTGCATTCTACACCTCACCCTAAGCCCTAATCCCCCTAAAGAAAAGACATCAAAGACAAAAAGAAAGAAAATAAAAGAGACTCAATGGCCCCAGTGGAAATAGGCAAGCCGGTCTTCGGCGTAGACAGCCCCAAACCCACCACAACCCAGCATCCATCTCTGTACGACCACACCCTAATCACCACCGACTTCGATGCCCTCAAATTCCACGCCGCGGATCCCTCCAGCTCCAATTCGGCCACCCCCACGAAACAGCAGCACTACAAAGTGACCTCCTAATCACATCACCGTACAATGATCCCAAACACCTCTTGGATCTCAAAACTCTGGATACACCCAACCAATTGCTTGCCAAAGCCCTTACAATCCTCAGACCCACCCGTGACGACTACGCTACGGCACCGTACACGGAATCATTCAATTGGCAGGCTGTGTTTGATTTCCTACAGGACTTAGCCCAGAAGAATGGGTATCGGTGGGAGAAGCAGCATTTCTACGTGGTTGTTTTCCGGTCCCGGCTCAACGCGGACATCGACAACCAGCGGCTGCATGATTTGGATGCCTATTCGCATCAGGAGGCTGTTGCTAGTGGCGGGTTGCTGAAGTATTGGTTTGGGACGAAGAATGGGGAGAGGAGGAATTTGGCTACTTGTGAGTTACTTTTCTTTCTTTCTTTCCCAGTATATTCTAAGCGAGGTTGCTGATGATGGTACTAGGTCTCTGGCGGAGTCGTAATGATGCCAGGTTGGGAGGTACCGGGCCTTGGCATAAGAAGGCACGCGGTGCTGCAAGAGATCTGTATGAGAATATCACTTTCACGACCCTCAAATTGGTGATTGAAGATGATGTTCGGTCGTGGAGTGTTACGGACTGGACGGATGCGGATGAGTGAGAAGCGATAATGGTTGCATTATTTGAGATACCATAGATGGGTTTGTCGGTTTTGGCTTGGGTGTTGGTGTTTCTAGAGCGTTTATACTGGCATTTTTTTTTAATAATAGTTATATAGCAATTAAGTCAAGATTTCTACTGGGAAGTTGTGGTCATGATTATGGTTCGTGTTTAAGCTTGAGATATTGGGTCCTTAGCGTCCCGTAGCCGGAAGAACTTTATCTATAGCCAAGAGAAATCAAGATGGAGAAAAAGTGGAAAAGATTCGAACTACACATCGAGAAAAGATTTTATGACTAGAATTTAGAAGAGGCAGGAACGTGGCGAGGGATTTATTGCCATAGGAGGGGAAAGAAGTGAGTAGGTTCATTCAGATCACATAATTATCTACTAAAATGAGATGTGCTGCGCGAGGTCCGAGCACATTGTTCGCCCGCGTCGCTTACCTTCACTCAAACATCACTAGTAGTCCGAGTACGGAGACAAGGATATCTTCCGGATTATTTATGGAGATTATGAATTGAGAAGGCTTGGCTTGATAATGCATGTTGAATCAAAACTAACCGATGGCGAGGAGACCGGGGGCTAAGACGAAGCTGGAAATTCTACACGACTGGAAGTTCTCAGCAGGCCTGATGAGATGACTGCAGGGATGATTGACACCATCCACTACACACTTGCACTGTAAGAATTGTTCAATCCTACTCAAAGCTCTTATAACTATGAGATCAGCTTGTGTGTTTCCGGATTGACTACTTGTAAAGATGGAAATGCATGTCTTCTACGTGAGGGGAATTGAATTTCATTGCGAGATGGAGTAGATTCCAACAGAATTAGGGGGGGTTTTGGTTGTCGAAATTTAAGCTTATGATACTATTGCGGAGACGAGTGTCGTCATTTTTAGTAGGGGCACAAGTTCACATCCAGAAGTCGAGCCAATAGACACCATGAAGCCTTTTGACACTGGCCATGATATCCTCGTCTAGACCTATCAGACTTCCTGATAGCGTCATTCAATGCCGAATTGAGCATTGTGTGGGGTGACACTTATCAAGCATCACATCTAACCGAGATATAGTTTCACGTTCTATTTGACAAAAGCTATAAATGTAGCTTACGCCGGAGTAGACATGTTCATGGATGCTTGCGGCCCGTATCCTCAACACTCTGCCATCCTCTTATTCCGTAGTTTCTCTCCTTCCCCGCAGGCCAGATAGGAACACTGCAAACCTGCCCAATGGGTCTACCGTTTTGGCACGATAGAGAAAAGGATGCCGGCATCTCCGTCCGGGAACATAACACCTCCCAAGAGAGTACTATTCAAGATGGTGCCGTCAAATACACGGCGGCAGAAGGTGTCAATTCTACCAGTGTGACCTACCAAGATGCTAGTGGTGCGCCCGTGGAGACGGATTCGCCGTTGGGATACTCCGTTAGCTTTTGGACAAGTCTATGCCTGAATATCAATCAAATGGTTGGAACTGGTATCTTTTCAACACGTGAGTAGGTCCCAAATACGCCACTTCGACCCTCATACTTATGTGTCTGAAGCGGCCACTATCCTTCAGGGCGTTGGCTCCGTTGGCCTTTCCATGATATACTGGTTCATAGGATATCTGCTTGCCCAAAGCACACTTGCGGTGTACCTGGAGCTGGCATCATACTTTCCCAGTCGTTCGGGGTCGGAAGTCGTGTACCTTGAGCAGGCATTCCCAAAACCTGAATACTTCTTCCCTACAACATTTGCAGTGAAGCATGTCATCTTTTCGTTTGGGAGTAGCAACGCCATCGTCTTTGCCCAATACGTCTTTGGAATTGCAGGTTCAGAGTACACGAATTGGCAGTTAAAAGGTGTTGCGGTGGCTGCGTATACTGTTGCGACTTTAGGTTTGTGGACCGAATACACACAGCACCTGGCTATTTGGCTGATAAGAACTGCAGTTGTGAGTTTAAGCAACAAATGGTCACTGAGAGTCGTTGTCTGGTTTGGGTTCGTCAAGATTGCAACCCTGGTATTGTATGTCGTGCACGATGCAAAGATGGGCTAGTCCACCAACTCACCTATCATTATAGGATCTCAATCGCTGGACTGGTAGTACTCGGCGGGCATACAAAGGTCGAAGACCCGATGATCAACTGGCATGATGCCTGGAAAGGGACATCATCGGCAAGCGCCTACGGTGCTACTAATGCCATGATCAAACTTATCTTTTCTTACGCTGGCTATACTAATGCTTTCAGTGTGGTTAATGAGATCAAGGTTCGCCAGTAATCCTCCAAGCGCTTCACAATAACGAACCCTAATTATGTATACAGAATCCTATCAAAACACTTCGTTGGAGCGCTCCATTTTCACTGATTCTCGTCACATCGCTCTATATCCTTGTGAACGTCGCCTACTTCTCTGCTGCCTCAAGGGAGGAAATACTAAATTCAAAGCAAATCGCCGCAGGAATCTTCTTTCAAAAGGTCTTTGGCAGCAATGGGGCTTCCCGTGCGCTGAATGTACTTATTTGCATAAGCGCATTCGGTAATTTAATGGCTGTTATGGTTAGCTATTCCAGAATGCTCCGAGAGACTGGAAGGTAAGATATCTAGCCTAGTCCCCTGAAACAATAGGCATTTCCTGCAGATCCATCTAGCGAACATGCTGATTATTTGGTCTTATAGGCAAGGTATACTTCCCTGGCCTAGGTTCTGGACTTCTACGAGGCCGTTTGGAACACCCCTGGGGCCTTATCTCGTCCAGTTCACCATAACTGTTATCATGATTCTTGCCCCTCCTGCTGGAGATGCCTTCAATTTTGGTCTGTGCCTCTTAATAACACTCATAACATGATTCCCAAACTGACAAAAATGGTTGAATAGTCGTCGACCTCTCCGTATACCCTTCGAGCATTTTCAATTTCCTTTTAGTGGCCGGACTCCTCTTAATCCGTTGGCGCCGCAGCAAGCTCAATCTACCTAGACCCGAGTATCGATCATGGGCAATTGCGATCGGGTTTGCACTGCTGGCGAACCTCTACCTGCTTGCTGCCCCGTGGTACCCGCCCACAGGTGGTGCAAACGGTGGAGACGTTAGCTTCTGGTACGGCACATATTTGGTAGTCGGTATTGGACTGTAAGTACTAATCTTGCACCTCGCCGATATGCTCTGTTTGATTAACGTATAATTCAGACTTGCTGCCTGTGGCGTATACTACTACATATGGATCAAGGCGCTTCCCAAATACAAAGGATATGAGTTTCGACAGACCGTGTTGGAGTTTGACGATGGGTCTGTTGCGCATAACCTGGTCAAAGTTCCTATCGCCGAGCTGGCGCGCTGGGATGTAGAGCATGATGCTGTTGGTCGTCTGCGGCATCGGACAACATACCAGAGCAGTACTGATATCGATGAAGATAAGTCAGACGAACAAAAGAAAATCTCTCAAAGTACATGATGGATGTTGGACTGAGCTGAGAGATACAACGGGAGGTGCATAGCTCTGGGTCCGTCGCCATATTGTACTTGACGAATGTATAGATAGTAGGTAGCAAAATATTGGACTTGTCTTTCTGTTGTTTATTGTGATACAAACGACCATCACGTGTAAGCCCTGAGTCCTGGTTGATAAATACTACTACTACTACTACTAGCAGTGCCCTTAAGGGTGTGAAACAACCTTAGGCATCATTGAGGGCCTGGTTGGTTGAGGTGATGTGCCTGTGCCACATCCACGGAATTGGACCCGGGCTTCGTTTGAGTCCCAACTGACTCTTCTTTCAGCCCTCGATCTCATTCATCCAATTCTCTGGCTCCTTACATCACTTCGACATACCTGAACCGTAACGCTATCAAGGGCAGTAATGGACTGATTGCCATCTTTTCTTCAACCAAGCCAGGAAGTCTTCTTGACTGCACCATTTAATGCACTACATCTTAACCGTCCTAAGACGATTAGGTTTCTTTTTGAAGCTTTTTCCTGTGAGATCTCCAAAGCCCTGTGTCTTGAAGTCTTGATCCAGCCTATTTGGCTTGTTTACGCTCATTATTAAAATTAGCAAATGCTATGCTTTATTTCCGCGGGAATTCTCACGCCCCAGCCGTTGCAGAATCGCCAAACCTCTTTTTCTTCCTATCTTTCACATTCAGGCATCGTACATAGCTAAGCGACGATCAGATAATAGTAGGACGCACCTCTTGATTGTTATTCTAACACTGGAGCGCCGCTTTGCGCGCCATGCGCGGATCTCATCTCTACCTTTCCTGAGATACATCATTAACAACCGGCGAGATGCGACCGATACCACTGGCACTTTACCTCTTTGCGCTACTTGCTTCGCGACTGGTACTCGCTGAGGAATATATCGAGTCCAGAGCACTGAATCTATGCTCCAACAGTTTGGAGTTTACAGCGACGTACTTCAATGTAAGGTTCACGCCGAGGAATCGTACCATTGCATTGAGCTTTAATGGGAGGTCATCAATATCTGGCAAGGTCGTCGCCGAGTTGATTATCACAGTCTATGGCTACACCGCGATGACCAAAGTGTTGAATCCTTGTGACATGGACCTCGAAGGGCTTTGTCCGGTCAGGGCCGGCGAGCTCCCGGTAATGAACACCAACATAAAAGTACCCGACTCAGTCATTTCACAGATTCCTGGTGGGTTTATGTCTATAACATACAAATAACTGCCTAGGATTACTTGATTCCCTAACTACGTTACAGGTATTGCCTATACTGTTCCTGACCTCGATGCCTCCGTGCGCGTTTTCATCAACTCGTCCGATACAGGAAGAAGTATTACGTGTCTTGAAGCAGAACTTTCAAATGGTAAAACAGTTTATCAGCCGGGGGTCGGTTGGACGACCGCGATAATTTCTGGTCTGGGCTTGGCTGCGTCTGCAGTCACTTCTGCGCTTGGTCATTCAAAAGCCGCTACGCACATAGCAACCAATGTGATCTCGCTTTTTGGATTTATGCAGTCACAAGCAATGTTTGGAATGTCATCGGTTCACATGCCTCCGATTGTTCAGTCATGGACTCAGAACTTCCAATGGAGCATGGGCCTCGTTCGTGTCGGCTTCTTGGAGACCTTGTGTACCTGGTACCAGCGATCCACAGGTGGAAAGCCTTCCACTCTCATTGTCGACCACTCTAAAAAGTCGATTCAAATTCTCAAAAAGCGTTCGTATGATACCTTGCTAAAGCGAGCCACCAAATCTGGAGCAGATACACATAAAAGCATTGTGATACGCGGCATCCAACGTGTCGGGTATAAGGCAAGAATCGAGGTGACCAATATCTTTCTGACAGGGTTGATCTTTTTTGCCTTCTTTGCCACACTTGCAACGATCTGTGTTGCAATAGCTAGGGTTATCCATAAGTCTCTTATCAGGTCTGGGAAGGTCAAAGACGATGAAGTCAAATGGAACTTCATTATGAAGGGAATTCTATTCCGGGTAATCTTGATTGGGTACCCTCAGATATGCATACTTTGTTTGTGGGAGTTCACTCAACATGACTCTCCTGCTGAGGTTATCCTTGCCGCCATCATGCTCTTGACTACCACAGTTGCCATAGGGTTTGCAACACAAAAGGTCGCCCGTCTTGCGAAACGATCCGTAAAACTGCACAGAAACCCTGCATACATTCTGTACACTGACCCTGCCTGTTTGAATAAATGGGGCTTTCTTTACGTGCAATATCAAGCCAAGGCATACTACTTCATCATGCCAGCGCTTGCCTACATCATAGTGAAATCCATGTTTATCAGCCTCAGCCAAGCAGCCCCTGTGGTACAAACCATAGCCTTGGTAATCATCGAGACTTCCATGCTGGTCACCGTCAGCATCCTGAGGCCCTGGATGAACAAGAAGACTGACATATACAACATTTCAATCGCAGCTATCAATTTTGTTAATGCTATCTTCCTGTTGATATTCTCAAATGTCTTCAGTCAACCTGGGATTCTGACAGGCGTGATGGGAGTTGTCTTCTTTGCCTACAACGCAGTGTTCTCACTGGTCCTCCTGGTTCTCGTGTTAATGGCTTCCATCTACGCCGTTGTATCAAAGAACCCAGACACTCGATACCAACCAATGAGAGACGACCGGGAGTCATTTATTAGATCGCAATCTCAACATCAGCTGGGTACCGAGTTGGATGCCTTGGTTGCTGCTGCTCGGGGTGATAAGTATTCTAACCACGACAATTCCACCCCAAGTTTAGTTGATCCCTTGGATAGGCATGAACATTGTAACGAGTCAAATAGTGAAGACACGCTTGAGGAGGGTCAGCCCTTGGCAGGCCTTCCTTCAAATCGTGGTGTGGGACATCGAAACTCCCCCCTCTATCACTGCTAGCGTGGGGTCCCTCGTGGTCGTCGATCCTATAAGCCCCCTTCAAACCCCGATGTTATATTGCCTACAGACACTCACAGGCTGGACGACGACTCAAGTCCGTGGAAGAGAGGTGCTGGTTATGAATGAAGTATTGGGACTTAGAGCAGGCTGACCACTTTACCTGTTTCCTACTATTCTTAGCTGTCATATATCATGGTGTATTCAACGTCTGCAACTGGTGTGATATCTAGCTACTCAATGGATTGTAGGAATATGTTCTTTGCTGCTGTATGCTTCCACCAAAAGATGTAGTGACCAGGTGCCAATCCCAATTTCTGGTATTATCTGTCAATCAGGATGATTATTGTATGTGACCAGTACAGGCCGAGACATGGTCAACACACTAGAGTCAGTAGCGTAGTTGCGTAAGCTACCTTTTCTTGATAGTCATGATCGTAGGTATAGTTGTCGGAAGGCCTAGATAGGCAAGCACACAATCTACACACAACAAGAGTATCTCTGTGTACACAGACTGTTAACAAACACAACGTTCACATTTCGCCCTCCCATACATTTCTTTTAATATATGATAATTGCCTTGATCACTGCATAACTAGGGATGGCTGCACTACTGGATGCAAGCCGCAGTTCTCTTCTCCAAACCATCGGACAAGCCGACGCATTTGATGAAAAAAAAACAAGCAGATAGTTCCAAAAATTGCTTCGAGGCCCCGAAGGTCCTGAAGACTTGTCCCCTTAGAGAGGTCTCCCTGCTCTAAGTCCCAGGATATACCTGGGAGCAGACTCAATCTGAGAGCCGAAGAAGAGAAAAAGAAGATAAATCCAAGGGGGGGGGGGGGGGGGGGAATAGAAGTATTTATGCCCACTCAAACTAGTTCTGCTTTCCGAAAATGGAAGGAACGCAGTGGAGGAGCTCGAATGGAAGGAGCTTCAGCAGAAGGCAGTAACAGTCCATTTAATTTCAATATATACCAAGTACCCTTGGTAATTGTTGCCCTACGGGGCATGGTCTAATGGCATATTAGTACCTGGGAACGGGCACGCTCAATCAAAGAGAAGCTAAGGTTTTTTTTTTTTTTTGCCTGCCTACCTTGCCTCCCTTATCCGGGTTCGAACCCAGCATCCTCCAAAACGTCTTTAGCTGTCCGCCATTCATATTTTTTTCAAGTGCATATACTTATCGCGAGAAAATAAAGAATACAAGATACAGCGACCAAGAACTACGTACTCAAGTGTAGAACGGGTCGACAGTGGGTCCACTCCAGACCCACTCGTTTGAGCTAGCTGGGTCACGTGATGTGTAATTGGTTTACTCTGCGTTGACGATCATTAGAAGAACATGCCGCTGAGATGTATAATCCAAATACAGTTGGACTTGAATTAACTTAGGATATTACGTCTTATCATACTTGATTGATCGTGCCGCTGTACGGTCTGGTAGGTGAAAAGAATGACGCGGAGACGCTCTTAAGTATGGCTGCCACTTAGTAGGTTACAATTTACAAAATTACGTGGGAGTACAATAGCTATGGATATTCTGATAAGACTCTTCCCGAGGGCTTCCCAGTTGCTGATTATCTATGTTTATTTTCAGCGCTCTATTCGAGTGAAGGTGCTGCCAACTTTCCTAAGCGAACTTTTTGAAAAGGGCTCACTGACGGAAGGATAATTTATACTAGTTCATAATCATTACAACGATTTCTAGAACACCTAGTAGGCTCCAGGACTTACCATTTCAAGTCTAGTAGATGTTCTCCAGATTTTGCTTCCTTACCCTACCATAGAACATGGAGACCTCATTGAGTTCCAAGATCCCATCTATATAATTGAACAAATAAGCGGCAGGTCATGCGCTCATGGTTCCTAACCATGAAAGGTAATTCATAGGTGCTGTTTATAGATTCCACAAATAACTAGCTGACAATTATAATCCGATCGTCAGCTGCCGTAATTCCGAGGCCAAATCCACCTGCTTCGCCGTTTCTAGAGCGAGATTTTATACGGATGAGCATTTCAATCTTCCAAACAGGAATAGTTACCCGCCGTGCGTGGGGACCAACCCCACAGGATTCTGCAACGGGAATTGTTGCCCGCCTATGTGGAGAGCACCCAATGGGGTAAAATTGCCTCGTCCAGCAACCAAATACAGCTTCGTGGCTTGCTACTGGTGATGAAGCAACACGACTTCCTTATCCGATGCGGGGCAGGGTGGAACACGATGATATTTGCAATCCACGCTCCCTAACTGGGTTGACGAGGGGCTGAATCTATAAAGACAGGGTCGAACCCGGGCCACAATGGCCTCTCTTGCAATTTCCCTAAACTATCATACATAAACTTCAACATGCCTGGAGTTCTAGCCGAAACTACCCTGTCCGTCAGCGACGGCCCTTTGACCTCGGAGAACGCAGCTTACCTGCGCCCCTCCGACCCTAACCTCCCCGTCGAGGAGCTCCGCCAGCGCTACAATGAGGACGGCTATCTCTTCCTGAAGCAGGTGCTGCCGCGCGAAGATATCCTGGAAGCCCGCAAGGCCTATTTCGAGTACCTCGCTCCCACCGGGGTTCTGCAAGAGGGCACCGAGCCCGTGGAGGGCGTCTTTAACCGGACGAAATCTATCGACGACTATCCCGGCATTGGGGCCGGCCATGTGGGCGGGAATGGCCGTCCCGGTGGAGACAGTGCGGCGCAGTTTGTCGACAAGGCCATCGAGGCCCATTACAAGGACTGGTACACCAAGAACGTGGTCAACCACCCCGCTCTCTACGATTTTATCGCCAAGTTTACCGGCTGGGGCCAGGATACTTTGACCTTCAAGCGGACGCTCCTAAGAAACAATATCCCTGGTTCGAAGCCGATTGGTGTTCATTATGATCAGATCTTCCTTCGCTATGGAGAGCCCACGGCTGTGACTGCTTGGGTGCCTATTGGTGATATTAAGATTAACGGTGGAGGTCTGATTTATCTCGAAAATGGTAGGTGCGCCGGAGAGTGGAACACGCGATCCAAGATTAACACTCTCCAGGCGACTCAATCGGCCAGAAGATCGAAGACGATTTCACCGCCAAGGCATTGAAAGCTGGTCTGACGGAAGAAGAGGCCAAGTCGGCCTTCAACTCGAATATGATGTCGACCGGTCTACTCTCGGAGTTTCCGGCTGAGTTTGCTAAGGAACACGACCGGCGCTGGCTTGTCTCGGCCTATGAGGCGGGCGATGTGGTACTACACAAGCCCCATGTCGTAAGTTCATTATCTATACATGATAAAGTCCGAAGCATTGGCTAACGGACCGTCAAGATCCACGCGTCGACTATCAATAACGACGAGGACAATGTCATCCGTCTTGCAACCGATCTGCGGTTCTGCGATTCCTCGAAGCCATATGATAAGGTTTGTTTCCTGTTCGTCCGACCTTCGTGATAGCAACTAACGCCTCGCAGAGATGGATGAACCACTATAGGTTTAACGACGGCGTTTGATTTGGAAGATTATTGGAGTTTCATTGTTCACTCTTACGGCCGTATACCAGTATTTTAATGCATGATTTTCTTTAACGAGAGTTTATCTATGAGCATCTGCAATCTGCAAATTCAATTGAACTGAGAATGCACTGGCTGTTTGTTTATAGCATCCACGACATAGGTCCACATACCCCTTCACCGTCCCGCCTCCAACCATGGATGCCTTTGACAGCAACCCTACCTAGTACCCTCCAGATACTTCCTCAAACGTACAGTGACAGATTCTAGCATCATTAGCGCTTCCCCCTTCCCGCCATATTTTCGGGTTAAGAGCATACTGCTTATTATCACAATACCCACCCGTCCATCCGTGACCTTGATCAGCGCACTAGACCGAATTGGTTAGCCTCTATATCGTAAGTCACCAAAGAGGGACAAAATACAATAGCACGACACGCCAAATTGGCAGCCTCATCCCCTCCCTCAATCTGGCAGGACGTGTTGGCGCTCAGGATGACATCGCGAAGAGGTATGCCCACCGCGAGAGAAGCAAAGGCAACGGAGGTAAACAAATGAAAGAGCTTCATTGTTTATGAATTGGAGAAGGTATACAAAGTGTACAGTCAAGTTCGAGTACGGTTGATTGAAAGGTTTGGCGAGTTTCTTTTACGACCGGTGCATATGAGATGATGTTACACCTAATTGGCATTCTTGGGCTCGCCTGGAATGCGAGCATTCGCATTCGGAGATCTGCTGTAAAATCAATCGTGCAGATCTTGGCCGCGGCAGACTATCCGCGCACCCCTCGCGTCTTCCCAGCTAGTTATGGTTTGTTGTAGTATCTACATCACATTGCCTGTGACTTGTATTACTCTTAGAGATGCGTTGAGACAGGTTTGGATAAGGCTGTGGCGTTCCAGGCTTCTTACTTGGCGGGTTGTTGCTTGCTCCTCGTTTCTCAATTCCGAGTAGCGTGTCTACTATGTCATATTTGCTACATTAGTAGCTCTGATTGCATCTGAGTACTGATCCCTGGTGGATTTGCACTTCAGTAGCTGCTAAACCCCTCAACAGCGTGCATTGAAGAAGAGGAGAAGAAGAAGCTGAACGCTTGGGGACCTTTCGGGGTTGGAGGGTGTCAGACCGCATGTGACAGCTCTGATAGGTTATTGGCGGGCCGTCATCTGAGGCATCAATCTTGAGGTCAGGTGACCAAACTTAAACGGTTGACAGGCGGTGTGGATAGATGGTAGGCATTGTATGTGCTGCATGGTCAAAAACAAGGCAATGGCCACCTACTGAGTGGCTATTGCAATCTACAGGGCATTCAGAAGTCCAGTGGACTCCTACGATATTCGACAGGCTTTGCATAATCTGCTCTGGTTGATAGACGCTAACCCCCAAAGTAGTCCGGAACAATAGTTAGTCCGGGAAGAAAATCAGCAGCCCCGCCAGGTCAGGGCCGCCGGTGCCTCAGCGGCCCCTCTTCTCTCGTTCTTTTTCTGTTGCTCCTCTCCTATTAATTCTTCTCTCCCCTCCCCCCCAATCCACTCTTCTTCTCCTCTTTCATCCTCTCATACCCTTTTTGATACACCTCTCAGTAAGTCCTGCCTACCGCCTTATTTTCTTTTCCCTTTTGATGATACCCATTGCTAACAGTGCTCAACAGTACCTCTTCCTTTTCTCCTTGTACCATCATAATCAGCAACCATGGCTGCTCCCGCTCACAAGTTCAAGGTCGCCGACATCGTACGTGTCATCCCAAGGTGCCGAAGATATTGTCGTACTTAGATTGTTGACCATTCCCTAGTCTCTGGCCGCCTTCGGTCGCCGCGAGATCGAGCTCGCCGAGATTGAGATGCCCGGTCTGATGGCCATCCGTCGCAGATACGCCGCTGATCAGCCTCTTGCCGGTGCCCGTATTGCTGGTTGTCTTCACATGACCATCCAGACTGCTGTCCTCATTGAGACCCTCGTTGCCCTTGGTGCCGAGGTTACCTGGACCAGCTGCAACATCTTCTCCACCCAGGACCACGCCGCCGCTGCCATCGCCGCCGCTGGTGTCCCTGTGTAAGTACAGGAATAACGATCCCCGACTACTCCGAGGCTAACGCACTCTAGCTTCGCCTGGAAGGGTGAGACCGATGAGGAGTACAACTGGTGCTTGGAGCAGCAGCTCTCTGCCTTCAAGGATGACAAGAAGCTCAACCTCATCCTTGACGACGGTGGTGACCTGACCTCCCTTGTCCACGAGAAGTACCCTGAGCAGCTCAAGGACTGCTTCGGTCTCTCCGAGGAGACCACCACTGGTGTCCACCACCTCTACAAGATGATGAAGGAGAACAAGCTCCTCGTCCCCGCCATCAACGTCAACGACTCCGTCACCAAGTCCAAGTTCGACAACCTCTACGGTTGCCGTGAGTCCCTCATTGACGGTATCAAGCGTGCTACCGACGTCATGATTGCCGGAAAGGTCGCCGTTGTTGCCGGTTACGGTGACGTCGGCAAGGGCTGTGCTCAGGCTCTCCACAGCATGGGTGCCCGTGTCCTGGTCACCGAGATTGACCCCATCAACGCTCTCCAGGCCGCTGTCCAGGGCTTCGAGGTCACCACCATGGAGAAGGCCGCTCCCCTTGGTCAGATCTTCGTCACCACCACCGGTTGCCGTGACATCCTCGTTGGCGAGCACTTCGAGGTCATGCGCAACGATGCCATCGTCTGCAGTAAGTAGCTGTTCGCTGATCACCCGGACGTGAATCTATGCTGACGAGACTAGACATCGGTCACTTCGATATCGAGATTGACGTTGCCTGGCTCAAGCTAACGCCAAGTCCGTTCAGAACATCAAGCCCCAGGTTGACCGTTACCTGATGGCCAACGGCCGCCACATCATCCTCCTTGCTGAGGGTCGTCTTGTCAACCTTGGCTGTGCCACCGGTCACTCTTCCTTCGTCATGTCCTGCTCCTTCTCCAACCAGGTCCTTGCCCAGATCGCCCTCTACAAGGCCGAGGATGCTGCGTTCGGCAAGAAGTACGTCGAGTTCGGCACCACTGGCAAGAAGCCCGTCGGCGTCTACGTCCTCCCCAAGGTTCTCGACGAGCAGGTTGCTCTGTGCCACCTTGAGCACGTCAACGCCGAGCTCTCCAAGCTCACCCCTGTCCAGGCTGAGTACCTTGGTCTCCCTACCGAGGGTCCTTACAAGGCCGACCACTACCGCTACTAAACTCCTCCTTTCCGTTTGTTGATGATTGGTATACCCTAACCTAGATTCTTTTCAACATATCACGATGTTACGAATAACATAGAGCTCCATTTAACTTGGGCTCAAAAGTATTTTGTCTTCAACGGCAATAAAAGTGGCATATATGGGGGTTATTACGGATAGTGTTTATGGGTCGGCTTGCCTATTTTGCATTCAACAGTGCGTACTGATGGGTCATGTCTTAATGTTAACAATACGTTTGGCGATTAGATGAGAGCCAAACCGAGGCGTGCTATAGAGCATTAAATAATAAAAAAATTTGCCTCAAAAGTTACCGGACTGAGTTTCGTAGACTGCAGCATCCCGTCATATCAACGTATCCATCACGTATAGAATGCTCGTTTCGTTCGGTTCCATTCCCAGTCATGACCCATTCTCATTTGATTTACAAAGATTTGACCAAATCTCCCAGCATATCCGCCACACTGACCGCAAACTCGGGATTGTTGATAGCTCTCGGATCCCTGACAATGGTGATACCACTCCCATCCAGCTCCTTCTCCAATGTAGAAAACAGCACCTCATCCACCTCGGGGTCATAAAACGGCTGTCCAGGCGTATCAATCATACTAATCCCGCCTGTAGGAAGTACCAAGCGAATCAAGTCCGGCTTCGCCGCACAAGCCCTCAACTTCTCCGCGATAAACCTCGCTACCTCCACCGTCTCCTCAGCATTCGGCCTCACCAACGTCACCGTCGGATTATGCTCATAGATCAGCCGACCCTCATACCGCTCGGGGATAGTATTCCGGGGCCCAAAATTCACCATATCACAAGCGCCCACGCTGACGACCTGCGGAATGCCCGCCCTCGCAGCAGCCACCAACCGCTCCGGCCCAGCAGATAGCACACCCCCCATAACCTCATCGACGACCTCACTCGTCGTCAAATCCACCACCGCATCCAACCGTCCCTCCCGCACCAGTCTCTCCATCGCCTTGCCCCCCGCGCCCGTCGCATGAAACACATACACCTCAAACCCGTATTCATCCTCCAAATGAGCCCGAATGCGATCCACCCCAGGCGTCGTCACCCCAAACATAGTAATCCCAACTCTCTTCTTCCTCTCCTTCCCAGAGTCCCCACCACCCTCTCCCCTAGACAAAGAAGAATCAAGATACCCCCTTGCCATCCCAAAGATCGCACACGCAGCATTCCGCAAGATGCCCTCCAGGATCCAATTCCGCCCCGCAATGTCCACAACGCTATACATCATCGTCACATCCGTCTCCTCCACGTAGGGCTTGACATCCCCGCTCGCCATCGTCGACACCATCAGCTTCGGGAACCCAACCGGGAGCGCGTTCCGCATCGCCGCCGTCGCGATGTTCGTCCCGCACGACCCGCCCAGCGAAATGATCCCGTGGATTTTGTTCCCCTGGTACAGGTCGGCGACAATGGTGGTCGCGTGCTCTGAGGCGGCTTTGATGTATTGGGCTCGGGGAGCCGGGACGTTGTGCTGGGGGATTCTGTAGTTGATTGTGAATTTGGGGTCTGTTGATATTGTTGGGTGGCGGCCGACGTCGAGCACTAGGATGTGTGGTTGAGGGGTTTGGGAAAGGAGCGTCTGGCGCGTGTAGGTTAGTTCGGGGATTTTGGTGTCGAAGGTGCCTAGGAGGAGGATTGTGGGGGAGTCTGGCATTTTGGGGGTTGGATAGGATTAATTGTGTTGGTGGTGGTGGATGTATAATGATTGTTTTGTATTGGTGGTGGAAGTATAAGTGGGGTGAGGCGCGATGTATTCCAGGTGGTGGTGGTGGTGGTGGTTGTGTTTATGGGCTTGATGTCGGGATGGAATGTTAAGATTGTTCGATTGATTTATTTAAGGCAGGAAATTGTAAGCTAGGTTAATCTCTGTCTGTGCCTTAGTATTTAACTCGCCCGTGTCGAATGGATTGATTGATTGATGTGCTGTGCGGTGGGGTGACGTCGCATTGGTTATATCATCATGCAGATACAGGAGTGGAGAGTATGGTTTGATTAGTGATATACCAGTCGAGCAGTACCTATAACATAACCTGGATGGTTTATCAAGAGATAGAAATAAAGTAACTTAACTAACTAGCCAACTACTAGTAGCTATGATAGGCTACAGGTATGCCCTGTACTGGCTACAATAGGTGTACACTATAACGTTAGCTTACTTCTATGCTATACTGAAGCATACGGTGTCTCAGTTACTATGACACAGCATAAGGTACAGAGCCACTTCATGGTATAGGACAAGGCTAAGTTTCATGATCCGTAACCTTCACGAACCCCAGCTGTTCTCGTTCTATACAGTACCTCAGATTGAGAGGACGCCAGTTTATGACTGTTGAGTGCGATTAAGATTGGAGGGAGACACACCAGGACTTTTGTTGCTGACGACTACATAACAAGCCGGGCAGGCACGGTTCTCGACGCATTTTCTCCCATTACCTGTGTCATAACTACCGAATGTCCACACTCTTCCAGTAGGATTGTTATGATTTGAGGTCCGCTGCCGATGCCCTTGGTTATCAAATGAGACCTCTGGACGCGTGTGGTGCGAAAGATATCGCAGCATGCCCAAATCATAGTATCTTGTTTGGGGTTGCGCTGGTCCTCAGTGACTCTGGGAGTGTTTATGGGTATAGTGGGCAACGCCTAGCCTAGTCGGCCCATCCCATGTTCACTTGGTGTGGGCTATGTCTGTGTAAGGCCATGGGAGCACCAGGCCAAGTAGTTTCGCAGAAGTCAACGCAAGTACTCCCAGTTTGAAAGATTTTGGGTGCCATACAGCACAGATAACTTTTATATACTCATAAGGGTACGTATATCTACATACTGTGGTCTGATATCTCAAAGACTATCTATGTTCTTTTCCATGTACTAATTTAGCTATATTGCAAGTGGATAAATTAATAAATACTCTATCATCTTAAGTATATATTGCGGCGGATTCCAAATTTGCCTCGAAAATCAGATTCCCGTGTCAATAAAGACGCTTGTCAGGAGGCCACGAGCCTGCTTCCCTACGTGTGGAGATCCAGAAACTGTCGAAATTATTGAGATTACCCCGCGTCAGGCTGAAATCACGAGGCTTTTGCATAAATAAAAGAAAGCACAAGCAACTGAGGTTTCGGCCTCCCCTCTCTGTTATCTCCTTTCCTCTTGACTATCCTACTCTATTTTGCTAGCACAACACGCTATCTCTTTAGTTCAAGCCCTCGTCCCGTATAGACCAGACGACGAGACACCGAAAGAAAAGCAGCAGCTCGACCCTCTATCGTGAAGAGCTTGAAACCTAAATCAAGCAATACAACCGTTTCCCTGATTCCGATTTCCTCTTGAGCAGCGAGAATGTCAGACCCTGCGAAATACATCGTCGGTTGGATTTGTTCCATAACCACCGAATACATTGCTGCACAAGAAATCCTCGATGAGGAGCACGAAGGACCGACGCTTGTGTCACCAAATGATCCGAACGACTACACGTTGGGTAAAATTGGAAAACATAACGTCGTCATTGCCGTCTTGCCGCATGGTGAATGTGGCACGGCTTCTGCGGCCAGTGTGGCAGCGAACATGTTGAACAGCTTCCCGAACATCAGGATCGGCCTTATGGTCGGCATTGGTGGTGGGGTTCCAAGTGAGAAGCATGACGTTCGTCTGGGCGATGTTGTAGTGAGTGCAGCTCGTAATGGTGAAGGTGGTGTGTTCCAGTACGACTTTGGCAAGTCGATACAGGCCCAGGGCTTTGAGCATACGCGGCTTTTGAACCAGCCGCCAACTACACTACGCACTGCAATAACAGGGATCCAGGCACATTATAAGAGGAAGGGGCATCGGCTCGCGGAGACTGTCAATGGAATTATCGACAGGAACCCACGACTACGGCAAGAGTATGAACGACCACATTCAAGCACTGACCGACTATTCAAAGCCGAAATCATTCATGACTCAAGAGGCTGTGAGCAATGTTGTGCGAGGAGCCCCTCCAATTTAGTTATGCGACGCGAGCGGACTGAATATGACGATAATCCTGCCATCCACTACGGCCTGATTGCTTCTGCCAACCAGTTGATGAAGGATGCTTTAATTCGAGATAGGTTGGCGGCGGAAAAAGAGGTTCTCTGTTTTGAAAGGGAAGCCGCAGGTCTGATGAATAGTTTTCCCTGTCTAGTGATCCGGGGCATATGCGACTACTCGGACTCGCACAACAATACAGAGTGGCAAGGGTATGCAGCAATGGTGGCGGCTGCATACGCCAAAGATCTGCTGGCTCGGATCACACCGAACAAGGTCGAAGCCGAGAGGAGGATTGGCAACATTATATCTGGTTCGCCTAGCCCAGTTAAATGGTCGTCCTATAGGTTAATACTAACAGAATCCATCATGACAGGCCTCCAAGACGTCACCGAAGACCACAGGAGCATTTCACAGAAGCAGCTTGATATACAGGAAAATGAAGTCATGCAGAAGTTGTCTGACAAGCAATTACAGTGTCTTAATTTATTCCATCTCACCTCTAGTGCCCACAACATCACATATTAGTGATACAAGGACCGTGTGGAAACACGAGTGGAGGACACGTGCGAACGGGTTCTCAACCAGGATCATTTCCGGCATTGGCTACACTAATTCTGGGCCATTGCTGGTATCAGCAGACCCAAGCTGTGGGAGATTCGTTCTCTCTAAGTATCTAGTTGATGAGAGACTACTTCGCTCGGCAGCTGTCTGCTACTTTTTCAAATCCCAAGATCAGAAACCGTCCGCCAAGCACACTGTGCTCTACTCCACAAACACTTTTTACACACGCCGGTTTTGGTTGAATATATCATGGAAGCATTCAAGAAAGACGGGTGTAGTCTGATCAATTCAGCAATATCCCTCTGGACAATTCTAGAAAGCGAAGTGCAAGACCCCCGGGCCGGATCTATAATCATTGTCCTAGATGCCTTGGATGAATGTGCCCAGGGGGTGTGGGTTATTCGTGCCTGTCAACCATAATCAGGTGTATTTCATTCACCAAACCGCTCGAGAATTCCTGCTTACAACAACAACTATCCTTCAGGACTCAAGTTGGCAGTACTCTATTACCAACTATGACGCACATAGCGTTCTTGCAGAATCCTGTGTGTTGTTTCTTGACTTTCTTAATAATGACTCAAGTCCCAAGATGCAAGCACAGATGATGGCGAGTTTCTCAACGAGTATACATTCCTTGATTACTCGGCCAAGAACTGGGGTACCCATTACCGTGAGGCGAATAACAGCACCTGTGCTGATTTATTTTCTTCTACTTTGAGCATATGTATTCCAGATTCAAGGATCTGGTCTCCATGGTTCACAATTTTTCAAAGGGTAAACACGACTTTTTTATTGGAAATTTTGCCAACCTCATAATATCGTCATATTTTGGGCATGATGATATTGTCAAGCTACTGGTTGACAGGGGCGCCAACTGAGAATCTGTAGATTGTAATTATAATCGGACACCGTTGTCATATGCAGTCGAGTGGGGGAATGAGACTATTATCAAGTTGCTGGTCGATAGGGGTGCTAGATTGAGAGGCGTGTGGCGGCCATATGATGGTCAAACACAGTGGTCATACAGGCTTCAAGAGGTCGACAAGCTACTATCATCTTTTTTGCCGTTTCCCTTCAGATCAAACGTTCTTCTATTCTCTATGCCCTTATACATTAAACTCTTTTCGAGAGGACCTGGGAAGAGCAATGGACTTTTATACTTCTAACATTGTGAGATGCACTAGATTATCCCGTTTGCAACATTGTCCGGTGTAGATTCACCTGGCGTTCGCCTGTTCGACCCAGAGTCTCGCTTGAAATAAGTTATCTTCTTTTTCCAACCACTTAACAAGCATCCTTGATATTCTGGCCACCACATTGCGTAAGTTGCCTTTGTCAGGTATATAAATCACACTGGAGCCTTCCTAATCCCAGACTATCCTCTGCTCCACTAGACAGCCTTCAAGGCCTTTTCTGTCATTTGGTCAGCGAAAAGTATGGGATATTTCTCAACGTCTAGAATTGCTTGTTGTGAAAAAACAATGAAAGAGAGAGCTGATATGTCCCCTTCCGTTGACAGAACAATTAGGACAGTCAGGGATAGTAACTGGAAATGAGTGTCAACGTGAAAGATCGAACCGATCAGTAAACAGCGAAGATTAAGGTTTACGAAGACCGGAAGGGTGCAGTCACGGACGGATGACGACTTGATCCTAACACTCTGCAGGATATTGTATTTCAAGGTCTGTTGTCCGCGTGTATACAGTCCATCTCCATTTCAGCCACCAAGGCCGGGTGTTGTAGAATTTTCTTCGTTCGCTGTCTCGAAAATTTACATATAAACAGGTGTAAATATCTCGCATATATTTGCGAAGTCATTGGATATGGAAGATAAACAGAGCTCCTTCGGCGCATGGAACACAGGTGGAGGAGACTATGTCTAATTGACCATCCAAACGGTAAAGCCCTATCAGCGTGATCCCTCTGGCTCTATTTTCTCCGGGATTTTGGGAATCTCTCGCCGGGCGGGAGGATTTGTGATAAACTCAGTCAGCTCAGTGCGGAACGTATTCTCCCATTCTCCAGCATACGACGGAGCCCATCCTAGTTTGCGAGCAAGAACGGCTTTGATACGAGAGCTAATCAGATGGCATCGAATGTCAGCAAATACAGTCATAGACAAGGGAAGAGTGATGGAGGGAACGAACTTAGACGCAAACCCCAACTCAGCACCAGCAGCGTTGCCGAAAAGCCACTTCTCACCCGCTTCCTGAATAGTGATCTTCGAGACCTCGCTGGATGAGAAAACCTCCAACTCGTGACCGGCTTGAGCCAGGCGTTCCGAAAACTCGAAGTGTGAGTGCTCGCCACTCTCACAGAAATAGATTCCTTTGCGACCAGAAGGGATTGTAATGTTCGCGCAGATATTGCGGAGCAGAATCAAATACAGCGCCGCCAGGTCTTCGATGTGGACGTGGTTATAGATTGTGTCGCCACTGGAAACGACACTACAACCCCCGGTTTGCAGGGCGTCTGTGATTAACATTGGGAGCTGCATGGAGAAGCGGTTGAATGGGCCACTTCCAAGTCCAAAGATGGTCGGCGCCATTATAATGTACGTGGTCACTCCGAAAGCCTCCCCATCCTCCACCACGGCAATGTCCGTGGTTCGTTGAAAGTACACTTCACGAGACTCCCGGTATTTCTCATACGAGAAGATATCTTCTTCGTCTGAGAAAACGTGATTGTCGATGTACCCTTCAGTATACGGGCGATCACTCAGATTCGATGTGCCTGAGATCTGGATATAATGCACCCTGTTGCCAGTCTTTTGGCGCCGTGTACCTTGTCCTTTGATCAGCGCTTTCGCAGAGGGCGTATGCCATCCGGACCCAGCGTGGATGATGACTTGATTGGGATTAGCGACAACTTTGCAAGAAATATTGAGAATAAAGGGATAGGTCTATGGTTGGCCGGCTGGCATACTATCAATTTGTTCACCGATGTTTTCCAGCTTATCCAGTTCATCGAAGCTTGAGCATAATTCTGGCGTTACTCCCAGGCCTCTGATCTTTGCGGCCTGTGCTTCGGTGCGAACCAGGGCTGATATCTTCAGATCCTTGGCCCAGGGATCTTTGGTCTTCAGGATGGCAGACAAGACGGCGCCTCCACTGCGCGAGAACTTAATTAGCACCCCGTTTCTTCTCTGAGTTAATCAGACCTGAGTTCCTTACATATACCCAGAGACGCCGGTAACAAGGAGAGAACGGGATTCCATCGTGTGAAATTGATTAATAGAAGCTCAGTCTTAGTATAAAGCAAGGATCGAAACCGTGAATGGCTATAAAGTTCCTGAATGCCGCACCCTTATATAGACAAACATATGAAGCCGTGGAGTATGTAATAGGAAGAAACATTTCTAATCATTAGCCCTAGATGACAAACTTCTCAATTAGATCTACACTATCGACCGGTCTTTCAATTAGTAAATTAATATGGAGCGTCAATTAATCCCCTAGAACTCGGATCAGCTACATCCGTCCGCCGATGTCGAAGGCGTTGGTGTTCGGAGGGCTGCGGACCCGAATTCCACTAAATCAAACTCCCCACTAGCGAGTCAAGAGATCGACGTCGCATTTACCCCACGTCAATCGCTCTCAGCGAATTAACCTACGACTGGTGGTATGTTGATGCCATTGATCCTGCTGGAAACAGGAAACTTGTCGCTTGCTGTTGTGTTCTTTCTTGAAACTCCCAAGTCCGACTTCGTTAGTACAGCCAACCTGGGCGGTCTTGGCTTGATCCAAGTTTCCAGTGCTTGTCCTAATGGTGGTGCTTTGTTCGGCGAGTTTGGACTTGCTGATGGAGCCAAGGGGAACTGGGTGGGCTCTGGATTCTCGTGGTCTGGGACACTTTGTACTGTGACTATCCTAGTTGTCTTCTATCCTGGTTCTAGCGATAGTCGGTTCAAATACCTGTTTGTCAGGGTTCTATTCAAATACTGCGGGGTTTGAGGCCCATGTTCGACATACTTCCATTTAGTATACTAAGAATAAGGTTCTTATGCTTTCTGGGAGTGGCTTGTAAGGGCGATAAGGAATATGTGTAGTATAGTGAGTGTTTGGACTGCTTGTACGGCTTGAGATCCTAGTTGCCTATAAGCAGCATCGTCGCTGAATAGTAGACCTTCATGTGCATTCTTAAAATGACTATTAGGCAGTATAAACGCTGTGTACCAAATGCCACATATCAACTTTTGAACTGGACTTCCAATATACGCCCAGAAAGGCTGTAGACAACTTGCAATCCTCCCTAACAAAATACACCCGAAAGCATCAACTAGCCCATGTCACATCCAAATCACATACTACCAGTGCAGCCTGTCCAACACAACACCCCGCTCATCATCTCCAAACATCATGCGTCGACTGGCCCGGCTGCGGCAACTGATGAGTAGGCCGATCATCACCCACGTTTCCATTCTCCCCTCCATGCGCCTCACCCTCCTCTTGATCCTCTGCACCAGAAATCCTAATAAAACGATTCGCATCCGCCCTCCGCATCCAACTCGGACCGCGATTCAGCTGCGAGCTCGCAATCTGTAACAGTCAGTCAGTCTATCCCACCGTAGCCGATTGGTACCTAAAGAGCTAAGAAAGGCAAACTGGGATAAATGAAAATAAGACATACCTTAACGACTAATACCAAAACCGCAGCCCAGAACACCATCCACGCGGCGCTCTTATCCTCCTGCCCCCACGGCCCCAAACAGGCCCTGTCATACCCGATCTGTCGCACACAGGCGTCGTCGCCGTGGCTTTTGTCCTTGAATGGCCATGCCCTGTCCTTGACGCTTCTGAATCCGCAGCAATGCAAGCTATCCTGGATGGCGCGAATGGCGCGCGCATCCTTGTTGTGGTAGTAGGATTGCCATTGGTTGTTCAGTTGGCAGACAAGGAGGTCCGGGGCAAAGAGGTAGGTTAGGGCCAGTGTGGCGAGGCCGGATGGGAGGATGGTGAGGAGGTAGGAGATTACGGAGGCTGCGAAGCGGTTTCGGAAGGTCGGGGTGTTGGTGCCTGTTGTGGGTGGGCTGGAGAGGAATCTGGCGAGGAATAGGAAGATCGGCGTTAGTATGGGTAGGATTGTTGTTGTTGCGGAGAGGGAAATCGGGAGCGGGAGGTAGAGCGTTGTGGTTCTCGCCCAGGCGACGCTGGTTTGTGTTGGTTTGTTGGTTAGTGTTTTTGTTTGGTAGGGGATGGGGTGACGTACGCGCCGAGGATAATGGAGACGGCTGTACCCTGTTCGTGGTTTGGTTAGTTTCGTCTGTCTTTATCTCCAGTGAGTTGGGAGTCGTACCAGGAAGAGAAAGGGTAGGAGCAGCTGCATTTTCGCTAGTGACTAGGCGTGAGACGAGATTCTTTGACGGGGTCGAGTCTTGACGTTTGTTGAAAGCACGACCAACAAGGGAGATGCAGCGGATGAGTTGGATCATGTGCGGGGTTATCCGGAATTGATGTAAGAGGCTGTGGCATGCATACAGCTGCAGATGTGCGTATAAAGACCATTGAACTACGAAGTACTCGATGATCCTACGGAGACTAAGGTTTCTCAAAACACGCAACAAAGGTTATATTGCGGTGGTTGTGTCAACCTACTCTAAGGACATTCCAAATCCAAGTGCTGATAGAGCCATCTCAACGAAAAGAAACCAGAAGCCGTAGGAAGCGGAAGGGAAGAACCAGTCCACATATAAGAAGGCAAAGACAATGGCTGTCTTGATAAAATTCCTGCTCCTACTCGGGGTGGGGAAGATCGTTCCCTCACCCCGAGTATAGCCTCCTTTCCTCTCATGAATCCATCAAGATGCCAAAGGAACCCCAGTGTCCATCAGAATATCAGCCCTACCCACACTGGATCCTGGTCAAGAAACTCGTTCGCCTCAGCCACGTTCAGAGCTCTCCTGAAGGAGAAGATAGAATCCGCCTCTCGACATCTTCTCAATGCTCTCTGACAGATAGCGAAGATCGCCACGGTTGAAAATCCATAGACAGCCTGATAGTATGCTGCCCCTGCAGCCCCGGTCTTCGACGTGGTGAAGAGTACTTTGACCGCATCGTCCCTGCCTTGTACAATGTTGAATAGTACAGTGGGATGTCGACGTCGTTTTCGTAGATGGCCTCGGAAAAGAGGTATCCAAGGCAAATCCGAGGTGTTTTGGTTCCTGGACTGGCTTCAAAGGACGGTGCTGGGTGTAAACTGGCCAGATCCAATCAAATAAAGTCCTCAGAGTGTCCATTTCACTCCGCAAAAAGTGCTTCAACAGTCGGTACATGAAGAAGCTGTACAATTCATGAGAGAATTGCGCGTGGAAAGTGATAATATTCACCACACGTAAGAAACAGGGGATTGAGGCAATGTGATAGACATCACTATTGAGCGTTATACATGCCATATCATCACCACCGAGTAGTCTGGTAACATCAGAATGGCTGCTGGGGGAATCGTCTCTGAAAGAATCGGGAGTCCCAGTCTGAGGTCCTAGAGCTTCTGATGTCGGGAAGGTTTGCCGGCCAGCCGAAACAGGGGTACTCTTGGGTGTCTGTCCATAGATTGGACTCTTGATTTCAGTTGATCGGATCTGAGACATTGTACCGTTGGAAAGATTTTCCGGCTCTAATGTCCTAAGAACTGGTTAGTTGCACTTGTGCCAAGAACGTCAACTCCAAACGAAAGCACATACTAATAGAAGATGAGCTAGAAAGCGAAATTCTCGAAGATCTGGACTGTTTTAGTTGTATGATGCCAGGATCTTTGAATCAATGACCACTAACTTGATAGTCGAGGTCAAGAGACGAATAAAGGGGAGAGAGGAACGAGTGCCTTTATAGCCATGACTAGATGGACACCTGCCTTCCCATTACACACTAGAAAAGACATTTTTGAGAAAAGAGCAGACAGTGAAGCATGAATATTATCATACGCCGTGCCTTTTCTTTTCTTTTCCTTTTTGGGGGGCGGATGTTTGGAGGGTCTGCAACGCGTGCTTTTGAAGCCATTTTTCCAGGTACAATGTCGAGAAAAAAATCTTAACCCCCATCTATAGCCAATATACATGACCTGGAAGGCTATTGGCACATTTTCCCTGGTTAAATAGCCATCCTGGTGGTTGATTTTGATCTCGATGAGAATGAGGTTGAGACTTGAAAATCTGAAATATTACGGCAAGCCTCGCAAAACTCCAGAGGTTGCTCTCCCAGGGTCTAAATATTCGGCCACCCTTGTCATACTTTTGCCTGGTCTGTGTAACTGAATATGTGGCGATCTTTCTATTCTGTTCGATGTCCTTCAAGAGTAAGTCCTCCTTCATGGTAGTCAGGTAGGAACAAGTGGACATTCTGTCTCAGAACCTGTACAGAGAGTCTCTGCTGAAGAAAGGCTACGGAACTAATGTCGATAATGAAGTAGGGTATTGAGCAAATGGTTTCTATCTCGTTGCTGACACACCGAGATTACCACAGACAGCCCTTGGCTCTTCCATCTAATTTGACAATTCTGCCACCATTGTCTGTAGGTAGCCTGTACCTCTGTTACCAATTGAAAGGTGCCTGGTGAAGTTTTACAGGCTTCCGGATCAGTATTATCAATTGATGCCTCAGGCACCAACTTAGCCCTAAAAGGCACGGTTGCTTATTCCTTTTGGCAGCATTACATCCTACTATCTAGGGGACGACTTGATCGGAGCGAGGACTAGTGCCTTATGTATTCTCCTAGTACTTCTATAGTAGATATGATGGCCCATGCCACAGACGCTCATGTTCCGCAGATCTAAGATTCTGATGCTGACTTGCCAGGGATAAAGTTCTGGACAGTTGTTCCCCTTAGTTGATCAAATTTTCTGAACACTGAGGTTGTATATGCAAAGATATAGCTATAAAGCGTCCAAATATCTGGGAGATTTCCACTTATGTTACCGGTGTTTGTCAACGATATCCAGTATATGTATTCTAACAAAGTGCACAGTAAATATATATTCCACATAATAACCCTCTACGAACAAGTTTAGAATAAATTCAAGTCCCAAAATTAACTGCCAGACTGCCCTTCAATAGAATAAGTTCTTTGTGAGCAGTATGCGTCTCTATTTACAAGGCTTGTTGGTATACAGCACATTAGAACATAGTGCAAAACATTGATAAGATAGTAGATTGAAAAAAAAAAAACATGACGTCGCAACAAAGGTGGGGTTGAGGATGAGTTGTTTATTTAACGTCCCAATCAGACCACATTCGACTTTCTTCTCTTCCTCTCTAACAAACCAGCATTGGCCTTCTTCGCCTTCACAGACACCTCGAGCCCAAAGACAGCATTATCAATCTCCCAAGACAGCCAACCCAAACGAAATGCCCCGCCCAACCACCCGCCAAGAAGTGCTCGACCGTCTCCGCAAAACCATCGCGGACGGGAAGATCATCGTCGGCGCCGGCGCTGGTAACCGATTCCTCTGATATGATAAGTAGAGTTATATATAGATTGAGAATATGCTAAATAGGATGAACCTGCAGGGATTGGCCTAACCGCCAAATTCATCGAAAAGGGCGGCGCCGACCTCATTCTTGTGTATAACTCGGGCCGGTTCCGTATGGCCGGTCGAGGGTCGCTGGCGGGGATGATGCCCTATTCTGATGCCAATCAAGTCGTTGTTGAAATGGTAATATCTTACTTATTCATATATCTACTTTGCGAATTATATATATAGACACGGTTACCTACGTGTCTATCTTATCCTCGGCCCCAACAAATAAACTCTACACAATACCGACACCAACGTACAGCCATACTAACACAATGAATATGAAAAGGCCTCCGAAGTCCTCCCCATCGTCGAAAACACCCCCGTTCTCGCTGGTGTCTGCGGCACCGACCCCTTCCGCGACATGCGCACGTTCCTCGCCGAACTTCGCCGGCTCGGCTTCGTCGGCGTCCAGAACTTCCCCACAGTAGGCCTCATCGACGGCAAGTTCCGCCAGAACCTCGAGGAAACCGGTATGGGCTACGACCGGGAGGTGGAGATGATTCGGATCGCGCACGAGATGGACCTCGTCACGACGCCGTACGCCTTTACCGTGGATGAAGGTGAGCGCATGGCGCGCGCCGGCGCGGACATCATCGTTGTCCATGTGGGCTTGACGACGTCCGGGACGATTGGCGCGCAGACGGCACTATCCTTGGACGACTGTGTTACCGTGATCCAGGAGATTAGGGATGCGGTTGTCAAGGTTAATCCGGACGTTATTGTGCTGTGTCATGGGGGGCCGTTGGCCGGGCCGAAGGATGCGGAGTATGTGTTGAAGAGGACGAAGGGTGTGCATGGGTTCTATGGCGCGAGCAGTATGGAGAGGTTGCCGGTGGAGTTGGCCATCCAGGAGAATGCCGCGGCGTTTAAGAAGTTGCAGGTTAATGTTTAGTATGTCTTTTCTTTGGTCTTGGTGTCTTGAGTGATGCATATTGTATGTAGCCGCTGCAGGCAAGGTTACCGACAATACTGATGAATCCTCCTGTCTTATCGGTCTGTCACCGGGCTATGCATACGGCTTTAGCTATGTTTAATGCTCCAGATCAAGATGGATGTCATCCATGGGCCAGCAAGCCAATCGTGAATTGGCAAGGCTACGTATTTATCAACTCCCCCTCACAGATATGATTATTGGAGGGTTGAGAGACAAGCGCGACAAGCCTTCTCATACTTTCCCAACACAGTATGCCCCATAGAGTCCCAGATATGACGATGGATATCCACCTTGATACGTAGGAGATTATTGAGATTAGTCAAATATCACCCTGGCTGTCGGCTTTACCCCAGTGCGGAGAACGTGGTATGTGCTGTAAGATCGCCGATTTATCTGCAAAAGGTGGCGGAAATGTTCCACAGTATAGGGGACTTTGGTGGCCTGGAGATACAACGATACTCCGCCGACATTTTTACCATCCCTCGTATTCATCAGAAGATTCCGTTCCTCTATGTGAGGATATTGCTATGCTGTGCGTATGCAATGCAAGCGATCTCTAGGAAGCGGGAAAGTCTTCGCTCTGTGATACCGGAGAGCTTGATCAAGCCCTTCAACTTTCGGTACGATGTTTCTTTGTCCAAATTTCAACAACATCGATATGGATTCCTGGCAGACGTAAGTGAGGCTAGGTTTAGGCAGCAGTGTGAGTCTCTATCTTGCGAAGTGAGCGAGGAGTCTCAAGAGCCGCGTGGTTCATCATCTTCTTCTTTCAATTATGGGCTGGACAGAGATAGGACGGTGAGGACGATGGAAGAGAAATTGATAAAACCAATGTGGTGATCTTGGTGCTTTTGTGTGCGATCGATACCTACTTTACTTGTGGTATTTCCATAGCAGAGATTTGGTCACTGATGTTGGCCCGAGAGTACTCTCGAGGGCCTGTTGGAAACTTCATGTAACATACATACATTCAGGCACCCCGGGCTGTGCCGAGGCCTATGCATGTACCATGTTGACTCTAATGTAGCTGAACCAGCCCCTAAGCGTCCCCCACCAAGGTGTGATACACAGGGTCCAAACGTTACGCACGGTCCAACCCCAGAGAACCCCTCACTTTTCTATTGAAACGTAGTTTAATGGTGTTTTGCATAGCTTTCATCTTTAAAAGGCAGGTGGGGTGGAACTCACCCCGGAAATTACGTTATTAGAGAGCGGAGATGATGCCTCTTTTGATATGGCACGCGGCTGTGCTCTAAACCCCCATATTGTTGGAGTGAGCCTTGCGGGGCACAGATACCGCGCATATATGTAATTTAAATGCTCGAACTACTGGAGCAGATCAGCCGTATCACGCACGTCCTTTACGGCTCCGTCTCATTTTCTATCTAGCTGCTTCTTTCCAGGCCCAAGGTGAACCAGTTCCGCAAGTCAGACCGAACGTTACTAACTGCTGCAAGTTCCAATAGTGGATCGAGGACGTCGTCGTGATGTCCGGGATAGAAATCGTAGGAGTGGTTGCAGCAGCCCTCCAAATTGCTGAACTTGGATCTCGCGTGTCGGTGAAGCTCTGTACACTCTGTCACCGGACGAGACACGCGGATACAATCCTCAGTGGCCTCTCGAAGGAGGTTGCGCTCACCTGCAACGTTATGCGCCAGCTGGGTGCTAGCCTCAAGGAAGACAAAGATGCACATTTATACTCTGCAGAGGCGTGCAGTACCGCGGAAACGGTGCTGGACGAATGCCAGAAGGTTTTCGATGAGATAAACAAGATAATCGACGTGTCGACCAGGTCTACCTTCCGCCGAGTCGCACTTGTGCTTGCGGAGGCTCGGCGGGACTCCAGCTTGACAGTTCTGAGAAGTAACCTGGAGAAGATGAAGTCGACAATGCTCCTGATGCTCAATGTTATCATATATGCCGGACAACTTCGCAAGTAAGATTGGCCGTTCCCCTCTCTCTTGTTTCACTTGCTAAGTGCCAGCGTGCAGGCAAGAAAAAGGTCGAGCGCTTGTCGCACAGCGCGAAGTAATCACTGCCCTTGTAGAAGAACAGAACGCAAACGAGGGGAGGTACCATCTGCTGAGCAAAGCCGTGCAGCAGTGCGACGAACTTCAGCGATACTATCATTTGGTGAAGGCTATACTGCATGATATCGATGCAGTACAGCACTGTCTCGACAAGGAACGCCATCACAGGATCCGTAATGGAATAGTCCATTTGCATAATGCTGAGAAGTCAGTTCTAAGTCAAGCATATGGGGATAAGGTCTCCCAGTGCTTCCAAGAACCGTTCTTCGACTTTGTATCAATTGGTTCCCCCGGTATCAGCAGGTCTTCTAGAGCTCCGTCTTATCCAATTATCACATACGGTGGTAGGATGGCTGGGCGAGTGCAGCGGTATACCCCTGCCCATACAGCCAGAACAGCTCAATTTTCTCAGTCATATATCCCCCGGCCACCTCCACCTCACGTTCCGGGGTACCAACTAGAAAACCCCCAGAGCCCGATGCCACCTCCCCCCCCTAGGCCCCCACCCTCACCAGGTACAAGATATAAGCCCTCCAATGTGACGGTCTCACAAATGCAGCCACACCAGAACATTGGGTATGAGGCATGGCGGAAAGCATGGCCCAAAGGACCACCTCCACCTCCACCTCCAGCGCCCCCGACAAGAAGCGCAACATACGTCCCTGGGGGTGTTCCTTTCGGCCCGAGCGTTGGAATGCCAAGGTTCGATTCGCATACCACCCTTACGAATGAAAACCAAGGGTGTGTGCCAAGGGGAGAGAGACAGCGACCACCAATCAATCCACCACAACACTACCCCCCTACTCGCGTAGCTTCATCTAACGATAATAATGACTGGCATTCCCCAATCCTGTCGCCAGCCACACTTCATGATGCGCAACAAGGAATTCAGGTTCATCAGGAACCATCGCCCACGGCGGACTTGATATTTAAGCGCTCGCGGTATAACAGCTCGGACCCTGCTATAGATCGACAGGATGAATCAGATAGGCAAGATAACGTGCGTCTATCGCCACAAGAGACGCATGTGCGTCATCCCAGCGGCGACAATCCGTCATCCGACTCTTCCCATGACCATGGTAAAGGGTTCTTTTATTTTTTGAGGAGGAAGAAGATGATGAGAGAAGCAGGCCCTCCTTATCCACCACCCGTAGAGCAATCCCCGGAGTCGCCAACCAGTCCAGTGAACATGTGGCAAAACAGGTCTACCCATCTGGATTGGGGAGCAAATTCCAGCGATGTTGATGTGTCACTGTGTGGGGGTTCCCCAGATGCATCCGTTTCAAACCGCAAGCAGCTATCCTCTCGGTCTGAATCCATGAATAAGGGGAAGAAGTGGGCGTTGGTCACCTTGAACGGGCTGGACTATCGCCTGGTTGATATCACGGACATGGACTCTGCCCAGACTCTGCGCGCCTCAATCTGCCAAGGTGCCGGTATCCATGACCCTGATACTGCCCAGATATACCTGACGGCGCCGGGCCAATCGGAGCATGAAGAGCAGCTGAGTGATGCCAGTCGGGTGTTTTGCAAGAGAGAGAAAGCAGATACTGCTGGCTCACTAAAGTTGCTTGTGTGCGACTCATCAATGCACCGTGGCATCCACAATCCACCGTCAACCTTCGCGGGTCATGGGATATCATTCCCAGAAGCTCTTTGCGCATCGTCACCAACGACAGCTCAACACAGCCTTCCGGGAACAAAACCGGATGAAGAAGCCATCGATCAGCGTGCATACTCGCCGGCGACACCATCTTCCTTGCAGAAAGCTACATCTAACGGAGGTCGGGATGTATCACAAGATCCAGCCACAGCATCATCTATGGACGCTGCCTGTGACCAATTTGATCAGGGTGAGCTCGCCTCGGCCGATCCCCTACCTAGAATGTATGAACATAAGCGTAAACTCGAGCGGAAGCAACAGATTTATCACGAAACAAAGCCTACCCCTCTCTATGTAGACACTGGTTACAGGCGAAGTGGCGTTATTGATTTCGATTCTCCTCGGATATCACCCGATGGAGAAAACATAGGACTCTCGGTCAATCCGCTACCTCAACGCAGGGCTCCACCCGTCCCTAGCGAAGCATCGACCCTAAGGAAGGTCAATTCTCTTAGGGAAAAGGGCAGAAGATTAGGATGTCAACCCGGTCTAAAAGCGACGCGCGGCAATGTGACCCGCGCAACTGGCGAGTCATCGACATCTGATGACGATAAAGCGGGGGCTGTTTCGAAAGGCCCGGATTTTTACTTTAAAGAAGGTAAGCGTCTCACCTCGTATTGCGTCGGCTAATAAGGTGCGCTGTCTAACATCATTGTTCAGAAGTGCCGGTACAAGTTATCCCAAAGCCGCAAGAAGATTCCGATGACGATTCGGACGATGGCCTTTTTGCAAAGCCATTAACTAATAGCCAGACTCCAACGACGGATGGAGGGTCTGGTTCAAGCGTCCAAACCCGGGAAGGAACACCTAGAAAACCGTCCTTCACTGTTGTTACGCAGTCAGAGCTGAAAGAAGGGATGATTAACCGCCTCACTCTGTATGTCCACTTATCCTTCTTCTAATCGGTCATTTTGCTAAATGCATCAGGGAATCATCGGGCCTGCCAACTGCGCAGACTCCCCTTACCCAAGATCCGCCCTGCGAACCAAAGCCAGAGTATGAATTCTTGGATACAGAGCTTCACACCGAGCATCACGAGAGCTTTAGGGACGTACACAAAGCTCTCAACAAGACGCCTCATGACTTGGAGAAATACCTAGTGCGCTGGACGACACTCTCGGTGGATGAACTCAGAATAGCGTGACTGTAGTGAAGTGCGAGTAGCTGCTGGTTCAGGCTTTCCCCATTTACTATTACCTCACGAAGTACACCTATCGAGTCTTACATGAATATGAAGGCGTTTTTGTTCTACTGGTACTTATTTTTGATCCACAGGAGACGACCACTTATATGTTAAAGTAAATTAGTGCAATTGCAGGTAGCAGACTAGCCACGATCTACTAAACACCGGGTGTACTATTAAAGGATGTCATTGATTATTCTCTAACCTAAGCATGCCATACGAACAAGAAGACATATTTAGAGAGAGAAGGAAACAAGAGGGAAATCTAGCAGGAAAAGGGCAGACAAGCAGGATATGCACCTGGCGTCTACAGCTATACCGACGCGCAGCCCTCAGAGGGTTGCTCAAGACCTCATAGTTGTTATAACCCATTCCTAAATAGACTGCATAGAACGATGATCCAGCATTGAAAGTTCCTGTTATTTGCGTGTGTTCCAGTATTCACATCTATTAATCTCGTGTATATTTGATATCACTTCATTGTCAGATGAAATGCCACTGTATTTTAGTCTAATTGACTAGAATCAAGTCCTTAGATCCTTTCTTCATTCGGTTAAACCAGTTCTAGCACAATGAAGATTATATACTACGAGATACAATAGTAAGACAGAAGAAACATACATCCACCACAAACTGAGTGAGCAGTATAATGCATGACCGCCACTATGCAGACCAACGACTAGCAGAGCCAGTTCAACAAAGACCCCGAGTTCGGCTACAGCCTACCGGGACGTTGACACGCACAAGTATGCACAACAGTAAATCCCCACACTCGGCTTCGGCTACACTTAATGCCTCTCAGACCAAACCCGATGGATGCCCATCCATGGGTCAACAAGCCAATTGTAAATTGGCAAGGCCAAGCATTTCTCGGCTCCCTACTTTCAGACACGACGATTGGTGCGTTTGAAGAACAAGCACGACAAGCATTTCCACATTTTCCCAACACGGTACCCTTTAGCGCTGCCCCGTGGAGTCCCGGATATAACGATGGGCAGAAAATGTGGAGGGAGAAGGAGAAAGTGTGGGGTTGTTTACCCGAAGTTGTCCCGGGACAGGGCCTAAGTCACAACATTGGCACTTCTTTGCCGGTTTGTCGTGGAGAATGGTTTTAGAGAATTGTCGATGGACAAGAGGTGTTCGTTGATGATATCCAGCGGTGTGTCGGTGCAACGGGGCACAATGAATATGAGGATAGCTCGGTATACCGACGATGGGGAAGCTTGCGTGCACTGACTCCGTAGTTAAATGGATCCTGTTGTGTGGTAACCGAAAGTCGGTGACTCTCCGATGTCAAGCCATTTTCAGGCTCTTCTCTATCGGCCGGCAACGAAGCCGTCTTACCCGATCCACCACTCCGAGAATATAATCGGACGTCAGGCTATATCGTCATATCGTCATGTACCGTGTACCGGGAAATTTATTAACTACTCGGCCGTGTGGTGGGCTCGCCGCTCGGCTGAAGCCCGTACCGGAGAAGCTAATGGAGCCAGCCAACATTCATGACATAACATGAGTTGCTAGTCGTTCTTGAAAGTCAATCATACTCGGCTCCCAGCAACAAAACACCCCACGAGTGGATCCGCGAGCTCCGGGGCCCCTCTGGGGTATCTCTGGGGTGGGATGCTCGAAGAAAGACCTCAAAAAAAGACATATAAAGAGAGAAGCCATGTCCTCCCGAGTCTTGACTAAATCCAAGAACCTCGACATTCTGCCGTCATGTTGTCACCACAAGCTCTGTTTGGAGCGTTGGTGCTTCTCTCGGCTCCTTCGGCGGTGGTAGCCGATACCTGCCAGGCACCGATTAACCACCCAGGAGAGCCTTTCAGCTATGTTCAGCCTCTTAACACTACCATCCTGAGCCCTTATGGTCACTCGCCGCCTGTCTACCCTTCACGTAAGTAGCCTTGGTCTCTTACATAGGTTGGACTCCTGATCTGACACTGAACAGCAAACACCACCGGCAATGGTGGCTGGGAAACAGCATTGGTCAAGGCCAAACAATGGGTGAACAAGCTCACGCTGGAAGAGAAGGCCTGGATGGCAACGGGCCAGCCTGGTCCCTGCGTTGGCAACGTTCTCCCGATTCCACGTCTCAACTTCAGCGGCATCTGCCTCCAGAACGGACCTCAATGCGTGCAGCAGGGAGATTACTCCAGCGTCTTCGTTAGCAGCGTTTCAGCCGCCGCAAGCTGGGACCGCAAGTTGCTGTATGAGAGAGCGTATGCATTGGCCGAGGAGCACAAAGCAAAGGGCTCCCATGTCATTTTGGGCCCCATCGGAGGACCTCTGGGCCGCAGTCCCTATGACGGTCGTACCTGGGAGGGCTTCGCTGCCGACCCTTACCTCACCGGTGTCTGCATGGAGGAGACGATCAACGGTATGCAGGATGCGGGTGTGCAAGCAAATGCAAAGCATTTCATTGCCAACGAGCAAGAGACGCAGCGCAACCCCACATATGCTCCAGATGCCAACGAGACTACCTATATCCAGGACTCCGTCTCTGCCAACATCGATGACCGTACCCTGCATGAAATCTATATGTGGCCGTTCGCAAACGCCGTTCGTGCCCGGGTGGCTAGTGCCATGTGCTCGTACAACCGTCTGAATGGCTCTCACGCGTGTCAGAACTCCTACCTGCTCAACCACCTTCTGAAGGGCGAGCTTGGCTTCCAGGGATATGTCATGTCTGACTGGGGTGCTACCCACAGTGGGGTGGCATCTATTGAAAGCGGAATGGACATGACCATGCCCGGAGGATTCACCCTCTATGGTGAGCTTTGGACCGAAGGATCCTTCTTCGGCAAGAACCTCACTGAAGCTGTGCAAAACGGCACTGTCCCAATGTCCCGTCTGGACGACATGATCGTGCGCATCATGACTCCCTATTTCTGGCTTGGCCAGGAGAATAATTACCCTAGCGTGGACGCTTCCGTCGGCCCTCTCAATGTCGACTCGGCCCCCGACACCTGGCTTTATGACTGGAAATTCACTGGTGCCACCAACCGTGACGTTCGGGCAAACCACAGTGCCATGATTCGCGAGCATGGAGCTCAGTCGACGGTTCTGCTCAAGAACGAACGCAACGCGTTGCCCCTCCGCAAGCCCCGTAACATTGTGATCGCCGGAAACGACGCCGGCCCTCTCACGCAAGGCCCCAACCTTTCGGGTGACTTCGAGTATGGTGTCCTCGCGGGCTCTTCAGGCTCTGGTTCCTGCCGTTTCTCGTACTTGTCGACACCTCTTGACGCTATCAATGCTCGGGCCCGCAAGGATGGGTCCCTAGTCCAGTCCTATCTGAACAACACCTTGCTCACCACGACAGCATTAACCTCCCCTCTATGGATCCCCCAGCAGCCCGACGTCTGCCTTGTTTTCCTCAAGTCCTTCTCCGCGGAAGGTGAAGACCGGACCTCGTTGGAGCTCGACTGGGATGGAAATGCCGTCGTGGAGGCCGTTGCCACCCACTGCAACAATACCATTGTCATCACGAACTCCGGCGGTGCCAACGTCATACCCTTCGCCGACCATCCCAACGTCACCGCCATCCTGGCGCAACACTACGCCGGTGAGGAGACCGGAAACGCCATTGCGGACGTCCTCTACGGCGACGTGAACCCCTCGGCCAAACTGCCGTACGTGATCGCCTACAACGAGTCAGACTACAACGCGCCCCTGACCACCGGCGTGCAGACCAACGGCACCTACGACTGGCAGAGCTGGTTCGACGAAGAGCTCGAGGTCGGGTACCGGTACTTTGACGCGCACAACATCTCCGTGCGCTACGAGTTCGGCTTCGGCTTGAGCTACACCACCTTCGACCTGAAAGACCTCAAGGCCAAGGGCTCTGCTGCCGCGGCCAATCTTACCGCTCTCCCGACCAAGCGGCCCACCGAGCCAGGCGGTAACCCCGCGCTCTGGGAAACGGTCTACACCCTGGAGGCGGAGGTGTCCAATACCGGGGCCGTGGATGGTTTCGCTGTGCCCCAGCTGTACGTTGAGTTCCCTCCTTCTACCCCGGCTGGTACCCCGCCAAGCCAGCTTCGTGGATTCGACAAGATCTGGCTCGAGGCTGGTGAGACGAAGACGGTCTCGTTTGACTTGATGCGTCGTGATGTCAGTTACTGGGATGTTGTTGCCCAGGACTGGCGTGTTCCGGATGGAGTTTTCACCTTCAAGGCTGGCTTTAGCAGCCGTGATTTCCGCGCGAACAGTGTTGCCACGCTAGTCAAGGCATGATTATGATTACGACATGACGTTATGGGTTTGAATCGACTTTGTAAGGAGCCTTAAAAGGTATTTGGAAAATGTGGAAGGGTTAATTGGAAGGGAAATCAAATTGATCTCTTTTTGCAGGTGTAGATGGATATCTTCGCGGGCTCTTGGAGCTGGTTGTATCGATGCTCCTATCCGAATGAGACTATATTAATTTTGATACATCTGTGAATTCAATGGCTTACCACACAAGCTTTCTAGAGCATCCTCCTCGCAGTAATGTTGCCCACCACCGCAATTCCACCGTTACTTTGGTTCTCATGCTATGATGGTGAAGATGCACATACATACAGTGCAGTACAGATGTAGGTAGAGTTAGATGGAGATAAGGACGTACCACCGGAACCCAAAAGGGTAAATTTCCGTGGGTGGAGATGCAGAATGCCACCACGATCCACAGCAACCCTTCAACGACCCATTGCGCGGGCAAATCGGTAGGAAGCGGATAAATAGATTTGGATTTAAACGGCATGGTACTGGGTATGGGATCTGGACTATATAAAGCAGGCTCGTCGTGCCTGGCGCGTGATCCAAGTAGTAAAAGTTTGTATCTATAAGACTATAACCATATCCGGGGAACTTCCGTCTACATCTACAGACACCTACCTATACAGTACACACGTACCTCTCTCTCTACATCGACCTCCACAAAAGCCACTACATATACAATGTCCAGACCCCTAGAAGGCAAATTCGGCATCGTCACCGGCGGTTCGCGGGGTAAGTTCCAAGTCCCTACAGCCCACCTTATCCCCTCCCCACACAGACACACTCACTCAACTAACCAAACCCCAGGAATCGGCGAAGCGATCGCCCGCAACCTCGCCGCAAAGGGCTGCTCCCTACTACTAAACTACACGTCCGCGAGCTCCCAATCCCGGACCGAGGACCTGTGCACGGAGCTCGCAAGTCAACACTCGATAAAATGTGTCTGCGTGCAAGCCGACCTCTTCCACACCGAAGAAGCAACAGCCACGATCCTCAAGGCGGCTCAGGAAAACTTCAGTTCCGAGACGACAGGCACCCTCCAAGTCGACATCCTAATCAACAACGCGGGCGTGAGCAAGGACCGCTTCCTCAACGACGAGGAAAAGGGCCCCATGGACCGCGAGTACTTCAACTGGCATTACACCATTAACGTGCTGGCGCCGTTGCTGCTGACGCAGGCGGTTGCGCCGTTCCTGCCGACCGATCGCAGTGGTCGCATCGTCAATATCTCCAGTGTGTCGAGCAGCATCGGGTTCACGGGCCAGACGGTGTATGGGGGTACGAAAGCGGCGTTGGAGGCGATGACGCGCACTTGGGCGAGGGAGTTGGCGGATCGGGCTACGGTGAATGCGGTGAACCCGGGGCCTGTTATTGGGGATATGTATTTTGCCACTGGGGAGGCGTTTTGGCAGCAGATGCAAGGGTTTATGGATAATACGCCGTTGAGTAAGGTGGTGGACGGCGACGAGAAGATGAATAGCTTGACGGAGGAGCAGCGGTACTTGATTAAGGAGAAGATGGGCGGCAGACGGCCGGCCTTTACCAGTGAGATTGCGGGGGTGGTGGGGATGCTGTGTACGCAGGATGGGCTGTGGTGTACGGGGAGTGTGGTGTGTGCCAATGGGGGCATGAAAATGGGTCTTTGATTGATGTTTGATGTTTCTTATGAACAATTGATATAGAATTAGAGTGTTTGGTTTGGTTTGGTTTGGTTTGGGGTGTTGTATGGATTGATGTCCGTGAGGAAAAGTAGGGCACAGGAATGCACATGAAATAAACATTAGTCAAGTACCGACGTCATCCCTCGGACCATTTCATCACCCCATTCATTCATCTCCAACCAACTCTTCTCCTCTGGACTCGACTCGCAAGTCAACTATCCCCATCAACTCAATTCCATCCCAACAACAGAAAACCAACCTCGTTTAACTAAGAAAAGCAATAAAACACCAACCATGCCTCCCCTGCGCATATTCTCCCCCCGCCTCCTCCGCCCTTCGCGGACCATCACTCCAACTCCCATCCGCAACCTCCGACTACTATCAACATGTCTTCCAAAGCGCCTTTCACCAGTCATGATCACTACAGCCAAACACCCCTCGCTTTCTCGCCCCCAGTTCACAACACAAACAAGATGGCGATCAGCTCAAACCTCCAGCGGCAAAAGCCAAGCTGACTTGATGGTCGAAGAACTCCAAGAACTGTATACCCCCCTCTCCTAAACCCCCGAACCCCCGTCTCCAGCCTTAATTGGATGTCTTACTAATTCGAACAAAAGCTACGAAACCGCTAAAGACGAATTCGAAATCGCAACCGACAGCACGAACGGCACGACCATCTACGCGGCCTCGGACCGGGAGTCGGCGCGAGACGCTCTGAATCAGCTGAGCGCGGTGTTTGCGCTCTATACGACCGAGATGCCCTCATATGGGGAGTCGCAGCAGCCGCAGCAGACGCAGCCGGATGATTCCGGAAGTCAGATGGTGTCGACGTATTTTGATCCTGGGGATATCAAGCCGGAGGTCCGCGAGGAGGTCAAGAGGAGGGTTGGGCATCGGCTGAGGGAGCTGGAGAATGCGGTTGAGGCATTGGAGGAAAGGGCTAAGGATGACTAATGGTTCATTTAGTTTGTGGGTCTAATTGCGGAGGTAATAGACGGTAGATTGTTGGCATTAGTCGACGGCGACAACATGATATTGCATTGTTGTCAGTATTCCGTGGGATGCTTTTCATCTGCTGATATAGCAAATGGATACTATACATGACTTGTAACATAGACGAATCGTCATTGGACAGCTCGTTAATCATCATATATCCAACCTAGGTATCTCTTTTTCCGCTCTGCGAATAGTCCTGAATGCAATGTAAATCCGACCACTAGATATATATTCCAACTCCGGCCGCGCCATTCCCCGTCTCGACTGTAGGTTGTAAAATAGGTATAATAGGGCCTGAGAACTCCGAACTCTAAACAATGGGGAAAGAGAGTGTAAACTGGTCTGAAACAGGTGACATCATGGTCGAACTGTCGTGTTTGTGGGTCGATCTCATGTGTCGCTTGAGTTGGTCTGGCATGGTCAGCATGGAGAAGGCCAGAAGATGTTCTAGGTACTCACCAGGTCGAGTAAAGCTCTTGGTGCATCCTGGGTAAATGCATTTGTGTTTCCGTTCACCATGTGCTGTATCTGTTAGTATCACAGCTGGCAACAAATGGACTGCAACATACTTAAGCGGTGGCTAGACATGTTTGATGACTGCAAGAATTTTGTTAGTGTTGGCTTGCCTTACGTGGTGGATAAACTAGACACTCACATCACCGGTCTGGAAGTTACATCCAGGAAAAGTACACTTGAAAGGTTTCTCTCCGGTGTGCGTCCGTGAATGGGTTTCTATTCAGTCAGCACGAGTTATCTCACACCATAGAACTGTACATACTCAGTTCACTACTGTCTGTGAAAGCCTTCCCGCATTCAGAGCACTTGTAGGGCTTCTCCCCCCGGTGGCTTCGTTCATGGCGTTCCAACGTTGCCTGTCGAGCGAAAAATTTGCCACAGACCGAGCATTTGAAATTCTTGTCTTCCCAGTATGTCAGTCACTATCCGTGATGAGGATGGGTGAGGGCTTACAGTTGCTATGGGTCAGGAAATGGCCTTGTAATTTTGACTTCTGCGAGAAGGGCTCATCCGGGCGGTGGCAGCCCTCCCAGCAGCAGTAATATCCGGTACCCTTGGCGCCATTGATGGTTGACATGTGTTGCGCGATCAGATGCTCCTGAAGAGTGCAGGAATCAGAGAATTCTGCTCCGCAAATGGTCTTCACTCCGCTTGACATGGTGGTCCACTTGCAGACATGCACTTCGTTCTCGGTCGGAGTAATCGGGCTTGTCAGCACCGACGGAGTCCCGCCCTCCAGAGGTGGAGGGGTATCGCCCGGGCTAGATATCAATTGCGAGCTCACACTGGACCGGGACTGGCGGGAATATGGCGAATAATGTCCGTACGGGTGTACATGAGCATGCGTGTGCGTACGACATCGGTGATGCGTACGACAGGGGCCCCTCGAGGGGTTACTGTGGATATGTACCGGGCTTTTCATGAGGTCGTTAAGATTAACATTAGGCGGGATATGGAAACAGGCGAATGAATTAGAATTAGTGTCGGGATTCGGTTTGTTAACATGGTCGCAGTTTGTGTTTTCGTGTACATGAAAGTTTTGACAGGCAGAAAGGTCAGGGCACATTCCCAACATGTGGAATACATCTGCCGGATTAACGCCGTTCTGAGCCGGGAACGGTTGGTGCATCATGTTGCCGTGAGCGTCTTTAGAAGAGTCATGGAAATGAAAGTGAGGGAAGCTGTGAGAGTGGCAATGGGCGACTGGGATCGAATGCTGAGGGAAGAGGGAGTCCATAGAGGGCTGAGGGGCTACCATCTCCTGGGTGACATTGCCCGTTGTTTTGGGCAGTTGTTCTCCTTGCGATTGTCCCACTGTGCATGCCGAAAGTAACTCGTTTGATTCTAAATTAATGGGGCCTGCTAGCCCTAAAAGAGACTCAAGGGTATGGTCTGCAACAGTTGCATCGTTACCATTGTGATCAAAGCAATGTTCATCAAAGCAGAGGGCCTCGGCGTTCTCGCAGTGCGTATCGTCACAGCCATCATTGCAGTGGGTGTCAGCGCATGCGGTATCATCACACTCCACGAGCCCGTCGCAAACCGAAGGGCAAGTGATGGAGCAGTCGTCCATGTCGCAGCAGGCGTCGTCGACATGGCAGTGGTCGAGCGAGGCGTCATGTCCTTCGCCTGGGCAATCCCACTGGGATGCTCGGGGGGCGTCAGACTGGCTCTCCGATTCTTTCCCGTCTATATGGAAGGACTCCCAATGACACTCGAGGCAGTAATCGTCCTTTTTAGTGTGAGAAGCCATTGTGCACGGCAAACCCAACCGACGTCACTTGACGTCGGGACAGTCTCCTGGTACCCGGTAGAGAGATCAGACCGTTTGATTTGAATCCAGGAACAAAGTTCACGAAGGGTCAAACACAAGTGCCACCCGGAGAGAAGGGAAGAGAAGAGTGAGGCGGGGAGATCACTCGGCGGTATGGGGTCTTTGTCCTTGAGCACTCCAGACTTCGCCAACGTTAGCCCACATCGCCACCACGCGGTCGAGCAGACAGGTATAGTACATACCAATAAGAAAGGTCGCAATCTTGCCAGTTGCAGTATCCGCGGGATATAACCGAGATTGTTCAACCAGGTTCAACCAGCCATGCACAGTGCGTCACGATCGCCTGGAATGGCCGGTGCAATTGGAAGCGAAAAAACCTGACCGCCTGGGGCATGAGGGACCAGAGGGGGCGAGGACCTTGGGAGCGTTCTGAGATGTATAAAATGAAGAGATCCTCAGTATAGAGTTATGATTCGTCTTGCGGTGATTCTATCACACATAAGTTTCAGTCACTAAATCGAGGCGGCGGTTGAGGACCTTGGGAGACAAGCGGCCTCTGAGTACCCTGCGGGTTAGGGCGTCATTGCCCGCCTACCCTCGGCGAATGAGAGTACCCAGATTTGCGAAGTTTGTTTTATCTCAGGACCAAGTTTTTCAGGCATTCAAAAAAAAGGTTTTGCTGTGTATGTCCAGGGTAGGATTAAGTAGTCTGTGACTGCCTCATTGGGTCATGGGTGAGGGGGGGGTGAATTTTTTTTTTTAAAAAAAAAAAAGAAAAA